TCAAATACGTATGTAATCACCATCCTGAATTGATGGTTATTAACATCTTGTCATATTCTCCTCAAATCTTTTTGTAATTTAAAAAGATGTTTTCAGATAGCATTCAAGTACTTTTTCACTCTCTCTATTTTCAGCCCTTACCCCTCCCTGAGGCACCCGCCCCCGTGAAGCTGGTGTCTCCTTCCCGTCCATTCTTTTGTGTGTTTGTCCTCCTTGGTGTTCACTCAGCTTCTTGGATCTACATGTTTATATGTTTCCATCAAATTTGAAAATTTTTTCAGGCATTATTTCTCCAAATATTTTTCTGCCCGTGTCTCTTTCTCATTTCCTTTTTGTACTCCAGGTACACGTATGTTAGAGCATTTGATATTGTCCCTGAGGCTCTGTTCTTCCCCACTTCCCCGCCAGTGTTTCTTCTTGCCATGCTTCCACTTGATGTTTTCTATTGCTCTGTCTTTAAGTTCACTGATCTTTCCGTCTGCGGTATCTAATCAGCAGTTGAGTGCAAGTGATTTTTTGTTTCATACGTGTATTTTTCAGTCCTAGAGTATCCATTTGGATCTTTTTTATACTTGCCATTTCTCTATTGAGATTTTCTACTTGTTCCTTCATTAAGTTCATGTTTTGCTTGAAATCCTTGAACATATTTATAATAGCTATTTTCAAGTCTTTCTTGGCCAATTCCATTATCTCTGTCTATTTTGAACTAATAAGCTAATTTTTCTACTGGTTATGGGCCAAATTTTTCTGCTTCTTTATCGTCTAGTAATTTTTTATTGTGTGGTGGACATTACTAAGGCTACGTTGTTGAGTGTATTTTGTTGCCCTCCCGATAGAATTTGAGTTTTGTTCCAACAGGCAGTTAATTTATTTGGGGATCAGCTTGATCTCTTTAAGGCTTATTTTTCAGTTTATTTGGGATTAGGTTTATGTATAAGGCATGGCTTTTCTGGAATTTCTACTAAATGCTCAGGATATTCAATGAGATGTCTCTACTCTGGCCGTTTGGAACTCACACATCTCCTAACCTGGCCCTGTGTCATCTCTGCTGGTTGTTCAGCTGTTTAAAATTCAACCAAAGTCATATTTTTGGAGCTCTTTCTCTGCACAGCTTCCTTTTCTCTGGTATTTTGCCATGCAAATTCCTGAGGGAGGGAGGGAGGCCCAGGAGCCCTGAACTATAATCTTTGCCTCCATAGTCCAAAAAGTTCCCCCATGCAGAAAGCCAGGGTGATCATCAGGCTCATCTCACTTGTTTCTCTTCTCTTAAGGATCACAGTAAATTTCATATATTTGATCCAGTTTTATGGTAGTTTATAGCAAGAGGGTGAAGCTGGTACCAGTTACTATACTCTGTCATGGCCAGAAGCAGAAATCTCAATCTTTCGTGTGTTTACACTCACATTTTTATTCATTCCAAAAACAGTATATAGTAATATTTTGCCTGTATTTCTAAAATTTTACTTAAGTGGTATTATATTCAGATTCTTCTATATCTTCCTTTTTTTTTTTTTTAAGATTTTATTTTTCTTTTTTCACCCAAAGCCCTTGGGTACATAGTTGTGTATTTTTAGTTGTGGATCTTTCTAGTTGTGGCATGTGGGATGCTGCCTCAGCATGGCTTTTTTTTTTTTTGAGGAAGATTAGCCCTGAACTAACTACTGCCAGTCCTCCCCTTTTTGCTGAGGAAGCCTGGCCCTGAGCTAACATCCATGCCCATCTTCCTCTCCTTTATATGTGGGATGCCTACCACAGCATGGCTTGCCAAGCGGTGCCATATCAGCACCCGAGATCCGAACTGGCGAACCCCGGGCTGCCGCCAAGAAGCGGAACGTGCGAACTTAACTGCTGTGCCACCGGGCCAGCCCCATGCCTCAGCATGGCTTGATGAGCGGTGCCATGTCCGCGCCCAGGATTCGAACCGGCTAAACCCTGGGCCACCGAAGCAGAGCACGCGAACTGAACCACTCGGTCACAGGGCGGCCCCTATATCTTCCTTTTATACTCAATATATTTTTTAAGATCTACCCACATGGCTGTATTCATTCAGTCACTTAAATATTTGAGTGTTTTTGAGTTTCTATTAAGTGCAAGGCACTGGATATCCAGTTGCACAAGATGGAAAAAGTCCCTCATGGAGCTTAGATTCTAGTAGGGGAGGCAGATAACAAACAGATAAACATTACACACATAATGTCAGACAGGAATAAGTGCAATAAAGAAAAATGAAGGGGTTGCGGTGAGCCCAGGGGAGGGTGACCAGACAGGGCCTCAGAAGGGGTGACATGTGCACAGCAGCCTGACCTGAGTGAAGGTGTGAGCCAAGCAGATGTCTGGGGGAAGAGAATCCCAGGGAGAGGGACCAAGTGTGCTGAAAACCACTTGAGGGTTTTCGGGAAGGGCATGCTGTGGCCTCCTTTATGTTTTAGAAAGTTCTGTCTAGTTGCTGCATGCAGAATGGGTACTGGGAGGAGGCGGGGAGGCTGCCAGGCAAGAGATGGCAAGAAATGGTTGGCTTGACCCAACGGCAGTGGAGATGGAGAAGCGGTCTTCCTCGGAATGTAGTTTAAACTACACAGAGCCAGTGAATTCACCGTTGGGCAAATGTTGAGTGAGAGAGAGAAGGCTCAAGAATGACCCAAGGTTATTGGCCTGAGAAGGCAGGCAAATGAAACGCCATGAAGTGAGATGGGGAAACTTTGGGTGAGGAATGAATGATTCTGCTTCAGACGTGCTAGGGATAAGAGAGCCATTAGATAACTAAGGGTGACGTCCTGTAAACAGTTGGGCATCGTGTCTGGAGTTCAGGTGAGAGATGGGGAGTGGAGATAGTGTTTGAGCATCTTCAGCGTAGAGATGGATAGCTATCCATGGCTTGGCGTGGAGAAGAGAGGTGGTCATAGGCTCGAGGCTGGGAGTGCCAATGCTTAAAAGGAAGGTCTTCCTCTTAAGGGATCCAGCCAAAGAGACTGGTGAGAAGCAGCCACTGAGGGAGGAGGAAAACCAGGAGCGTGTGGAATCTCAGAAGCCAATGAAGGAGGTGTGTGAATAAAGGAGTGATCCACTGTGCCCAGTGCTGCCACGCAGGAACATGTGGATGTCATCGGTGATACACAGAGATTAGTTCATTCGTTTTACCTGCTGCCTAGTATTCCATCACATGAATAGAGAAGATGCGTTCCTCTGTCTCCCACCACTGAGGTGAACATTCTTGAACATCTCACTGATTTAAGCAGATGTGGGCGAGCTCCTTTTTGGAGCCTCTCTCGGGATGGAATCACTAGATGATTAAGAAAAATACGCACAACTTCAACTTGACAAAACAATGCCGGATGGCTTCCAAAAGTGGTGGTGGCGGTGTCCGTGCCTGTCTTCAGTGTCGGAGAGACCCCACTGCTTCACACCTTTACCAACACCTGCTGTCATACACCTGAACATTCGTGCCAGTCTGAGCAGTGGAAAGGTGTACGATTGTTACTTCAATTCCCGTTTTCCTGAGCACTAGTGAAGCTGAGCGTCTTGGCCATTTGCGTTTCCTCTGACATGACCTGTCTGTTAATATCCGTCACCTAGCTTGCCTTGGAGTTGTCTCTTCTTTTTTGTAACATGTCTTTATATATTCTGGACACTAAATCTTTGTCTATTAAGTCCATCGCAAATATTTACTCCCAATCTGTGGTGTGTCTTAACTTTGTAGGGCTGTGTTTTGTGTGTGTGTCTGTGTGTGTAAAATATAAAAGCTTTTAGTTTTGATGAGTCAAATCTATCCATTTCTTTTGTATTTTGTGTCTTATTAAGCAACCTTTCCCTAGCCTAAGGTCATGAAGATACTGGTTTGTGTTTTGTTCTAAGACTTTAAAGGTTTTTTACATTTATATGTGTTTATGTTAACGTCAGTGCATCTGAAATTTATTCTGCGTGTGGTATGAGGTGGGGTCTGTTTTTTCCTTTGGGACAGCCAGCTGCCCTAACCTCTAGCCTTTTCCCACTGATCTGACCTCCATCATCACCTGCAGGTTCCCACAGGGACCCGGGTCTGTTTGGGGCTCTCCGTTCCTGTTCCACTGATCACATCACCTATTCTTATATGCATACGCGAAAGCTTTCATTATTGAACTTCATAAAAAATTTGATATCTGACAGGGTAAGTTCGTCAAAGGGGGAGGATTACTTGCTCTTTGCTTTGAAGTGATGTCTCTTTTTTTTTTAGAGAGAGAGATTTTTTTTCCCCTTTTTCTCTCCAAAGCCCCCCAGTACATAGTTGTATATTCTTAGTTGTGGGTCCTTCTAGTTGTGGCATGTGGGATGCTGCCTCAGCATGGCTCGATGAGCAGTGCCGTGTCTGCGCCTAGGATCTGAACCAGTGAAACCCTGAGCTGCCCAAGCAGAGCGTGAACTTAACCACTCGGCCACGGGGCCGGCCCCTGAAGTCATGTGTCTTTAAAGAACCGTCCACAGTGTGTTTGAACAGCACTGGCTGAGCTTAGGAAAAGTCCACTTGCCGCTCACCTGTCAAGGGCTGGTCTGTGGTGGGAGGGAGGCCTTCACTTTTCTGTGAAACTCTGGGTACTTTTACTTTTGGCTTCCCCTCCCCGCCGCCCTGCCAACTCTCACCTCCGCTTTGTCAGGTTGTGATGTCTCTGAACCGCGGGGCTGCTCTTCCGGGAGTTGCACGTGGGCCTGCGGTGGGTGTTTTGCGACCGGGCTGCTGCGCCAATTCCGTTGGTTACTGCCAACCAGACCCCGGCGACAGGCCTGATGGGTCTGGGGTTTCCTGTTGCCTCACCGGCAGTGAGACCTTGGCTTCCCAAAATAAAAGCACAAGAAACCACCGTGACCTCACGGTCGCTGCGTTCACACGGTGCTCTGTCCTTACCCTGTGGCCCGGCCCAGCCAGGGCCCTGGTCCCCCCACCAGGGTGACGTGGGGTCCGAGTGGCTGGACAGGCTCTGAGGCCACCCTACCTGAGCGCATGCTCACTCTCTGTCCCCTCCCTTCAGACAGTCACCCGCAGGCCCAAGGTGGCTCCCGCTGAGAGGATGAGCAAGTTCTTGAGACACTTCACCGTCGTTGGGGACGACTACCACACCTGGAACATCAACTACAAGAAGTGGGAGAATGAGGAGGAGGAGGAGGAGGAGGAGCAGGCGCCCCCAGCCCCGGCCTCCGGCGAGGAGGGCAGAGCTGCCGAGCCGACCGCGGCCCGGGTCCCCGCGCCCAGGCCGCCCCTGGACTTTAGAACCATGTTGAGGAAGCTCTTCAGCTGCCACAGGTTCCAGGTAGGTGGGCAGAGGCCCGAGATGCCCGGGGCGGGGGAGAGGGCAGAGCTGTCAGCGAGAGTCACGAGGCCGGCTGGGGGCCCATCTGCCACTGCCTCACTCGTTGCACAGATGTCTCCCGAGCGCCGACCATGTGCCGGGCACCCCACACACCCCTGGGTACCCTGGGCAGGTCCCGTGTTGTCAGGGGTAAAATAAGCCATAATCCAAAAGTCAGTTCAAGTCCCGATGAACGGATAAATGAAACTAGCCGCACACAGCCGGGGAAAGGAAGGGAGCACCGACGCCTGCCGCAACGTCAGGGAACCCTGACAGCACGACGCTGTGTGGCAGACACCAGACACAAAGGCCACACGCTTTATGATTCCATTGATATGAAACGTCCAGAATACATAAATCCGTACAGACGGAAAGCAGACCGATGGTCACCACAAGCTGGCAGGAGGGAGGAGGGGGGTGACTGCGTAATGGATGTAGGGCTCCCATTTGGGGTGATGCACATGTTCCGGAACTACGGAGTGCTGACGGTTGCACAGCCTGTGAATGTGCTTAATGGCACTGAACTTTATGACAACTTTTAAAAAATGGTTAAAAGGGTAAATTTACATTATGTGAATTTTACCACATACACACAGAAGGTAAATTAAAGGGTAAACGGAGGCAGATAAAACATTCTTGCATTCATTCAGCAAATGCTGAGTGCCTCCCCTGAGTTGAAAAAGGCCAGGAGGGACCCCTGCCTCACAGGCATCGCCATGGGGGCCTTAGTCTCTTCTTTTGTGGAGTGATGCCAGAAACATCTGCCTGGCTTCACCCGCCGCCCACCTCCAGGTGTGGGGAGAACGTGAGAGGGAGACGCGGGCTTCGAAGGGAACGGAACTTTCCACAGCGTTCAGTGTCTGTCCCAACATGTTCCAATTCTTTTTTTTTTTTTCTTTTTCTTGAGGAAGATTAGCCTGAGCTAACTACTGCCAGTCCTCCTCTTTTTTGCTGAGGAAGCCTGGCCCTGAGCTAACATCATGCCCATCTTCCTCTACTTTATATGTGGGACGCCTACCACAGCATGGCGTGCCAAGCAGTGCCATGTCCGCACCTAGGATCCAAACTGGCGAACCCCCGGCCGCCGAGAAGCGAACGTGCGAACTTAACCGCTGTGCCACCAGGCCGGCTCCCCAACATGTTCCAATTCTGAAGGACAGATGTAGGCTGAGTCTGCCAGCCCCTCTGAACCCCACGGCCCAGCCCTGAGGGGGACAAGCAGGGGTCAGAAAGCACGAGCCAAGCCTCAGGGGAAAGCAGGAGGCCCAGGGACAGGAGGGAAGCCCGCAGCCCCTGGTCAGCCCAGTTCCCAAACGGAGCCATTTCGGGGCCCCTGCTGCAGGCGTCCTCCTGGACCAGAATAAGCCAGCCCCTGCTAGAGCCGATTTCCCTTCTGGAAGCAGAGAGAAACAGCCCTTGCCTCTCCCATCGCTGACTTTGTTCCAGGGTAAAATAGAAAAAAATTATTTTGGTCTTTTTTTCACTCTCATGTGGCTTAGGGAAACAACACAGGCCGAACGACCCCGCACTCCTGCGCTCAGCGCTGTCCTCTGCGGCTGTGACAGGAACGGAAACCTGGTATTAAGTCGTTGGGGTTGAAATCCCAAACCCTCAATTTCAGGAGCAGGAGAAGGAGCAGCTTCCTTCCAGCTGCAGGGGGCGGCCCCCTCTCCTGCCTGGGCCCCCCAGGCCACGTGGCTTGGGGCTGGCGCCCTGAGCGGGGACCCCCCAGAGACTCTCATACTGAAAGAAGACTGTCGTGACAGAGGTAGAGATGTTTATTCACTCACTCAGCAATCAGTTCTTAGCACCTACTGTGTGCAGGGAGTGTAGTTGGGAGTGTGGCGGACACGTCTCCGCTCTCAGTCACGGAGGAGCGGTGCTCTGCGGAGAGGCAGGCTTTCCAGAAATCGCCCAGCTGGATGCTGGTTACAAGTGGAGAGAGGCCCTCTGCGGGGAAACAGAGGGGGCCTGAGACCCCTGGGGCCGGGGAGGCGTGATGGAGGACTGGGAGACGGCGGAGCGCACGCTTCCCCTGAGCCCCGAAGCCTGGGCAGGAGGGAGCATTCCAGGCAGAGGGGCATGTTTGCCATGGGCTCAGGGTGGGAGAGGGTCTGTAGCGTTCCGGGAATTGAGGAGGGTCAGCATGGCTCGTGTGTAGCAAGAGGGGTCTCTTGGCAAGAAAGGAGGCGCTAGAAGGTCATCTCTGGGCAGTGGGAGGTCACGGAAGGTTCTGAGTGTTGGGTGGGAGGGGGATGCGACCACATTTGTAGGAGGGCTCAGAGGGGAAGCAAGGAGGCCACCTCAGAGCAGGGGGTGTGGGTTCAGGGGTTTGGTCTCTGCTGGCAGAATCAGCATACAAGAAGATTCTGGAATCTCTTTCCTGGGTGCCATCTCCACCCATTCCCATGGTTTGAGGCAGCCAAGGTGACATAATATATGGCTAACTGCTGTCACTTCTCACACGGGATGGCACAACCAAGGGAGAGCATGTGGGCTGTGTCAGGCCTCTGTGGAACTGCGGACGGCCGGGGTAGCTGAGCCAGGGGAGGACAGGCCTGAAGGTCGAGGAGCTCCACCTCTATCACCTGCTCGCTGTGGCCAGGCCCTGGCCAAGGCCCTTTACACAGTCTCTCACAGAATGCTCTCGCTGTCACTCTGGGGTGGAGAACGTGGCCACCCCTGTTTTAGCACTAAGGCCGAGGCTCAGCAGGAGCGAGAGGAGCGTCCAGGGTCCAAGCACACGGCGGAGCCAGGAGCCGGCCCAGGACTGGCGGGCCCCCACCATGCCTGGCCCTCTGCCACCAGGCCCGGCCGTCTTTGCCAGGCGAGGATTTGGAATTAACCAGCTTTGCTGCAGATTCTCAGCATTCTTCTTTGTGACATGACTCTCCTCAGAAATAGTGCGGCCTTGTGAACGGGCAGCTTCAGGGCCTGAGGATTCCTTCAGAGAGGCCAGGGTTGGGCTGAGGCCTTGCAGTTCTGTCTGTCTCTTTTTAACTGAGGTAAGATTCACGTAACTTAGCGAATCATTTTAAAGTGAACGATTCAGTGGCATGCACTTAGCGCCTTCACAATGTTGTGCAGACATCAGCGCTGTCTAGTTCCATAATGTCTGCATCCCCCCAAAGGAGACCCAGCAGCCGTCAGACAATAGCCCCCCAGCCCCCCAGCCCCCGACCACCACTGATCAGCTTTGTCTCTAGATTTGCCTGTTCTGGACGTTTCACATACATGGAATCATGGCCTTGTGTGTCTGGCTTCTCTCACTGAGCATGACATTTTCTAGGTTCATCCACGTTGTAGCAGGTGTCAGTGCTCCATTCCTTTTTATGGCTAATACTCAGTCTGTTTTTATATCTCTGTGCCTTGGTTTTAGACCAGATGGGTGCTCAGATCCCTTTAGCTCTAAAATAAAACCAAGGGTGAAGAAAGAAAAGGAAAAAAGCCCACCAGAGGCTTGACTCTTGATTAAGCTACTGAATTTGGACATGTGTGAAAACTTCATTACAAAGCAATTTGCTGTGCAATTCTCACAATAAACCGTGTCATCGAATACTGTAACTACTGAAATGATTAGCAACAAGTTGAAATGGTCAAAAGGTTCAACAGTCCGTTCTTACACAGGCCTGAACTGAATTTCGAGCTGAAGCTGCAGACACTGCCAGGATGATGGCAGAGTAACTTTCAGAGGTCAGGACCCCTCCACGGAGGGCGTGAGTGGCAAGGCCCTGGGGGAGCAACTGCTGCTCCAGAGTTTCCCAGGGAAGAGCAGGGTCGCGCAGTGTGCTTTGGGACTCCTCGCGGTGCTGCCGTTTCTACCACCACCATGTCATCCCCGTGGTCTCCCTGAACCTTGTCGCCTCCACCCCGCCATGAGTGCCCTCACGAACGTCACCACCCCCCCACCGCCATTGCTGAGACCACCCACTCGCTCCACCCTGGTCCCTCCGCCCTCCTCGGCCGGCAGGTCGTGAGATTGTCATTCCCATGGCACCTCTTCTCAGTGTCCCACCTGAGTCGGGGCAGGTATTTCACGGCTCCAGAGAGAAGCGGTTCCCAGAGCACGGTGGACATTGCCGTAACCCAACTGCCTGGAGAAGGGAGTCCCCGGAGCTCCTTCCACCACTCAGACCTCTGAGCCTGGATGTTTTCATTACTTATTGAGCCTCTGTGCTGGGTGTACTCTGGCAAGAGGAATCCCCAGATCTAAAAAAATAAAAGCTTGTAGAATCTTTTTTATTATTTTTTGCCACCTAGGGATTAGCAGTTTGGTTTGAGAAATGCTGGGAAACAGTGAACAAGTTAAAAAAAAAAAGACGAGTGGTGACCGAGGGTCAGTCAATGGGCTGTACAGAGCAGCTCTGGGGGGACAGGCACCGCCTGGGGGCCAACAGGCCCGGAAGGCGGCAGGAAGGGGGGCTTCTGTGAGACGATGGCCCCCAGTGGGCTCCCCTGTGGGGCTGGGGCAGCTGGAAGTGGGCTCCCATCCTTGGCCCCTTTCCCCAGTGGTTTCACCCACGTGTTTCCAACCCAGCCCTGAGAGACAGCAGGAGGGCCTGTGTCGGTCTCACAGTTTCGGCTCCTTCCCTTGCTCCGCAGGTCATCATCATTTGCCTGGTCATTCTGGACGCTCTCCTGGTGCTGGCCGAGCTCATTCTGGACCTGAAGATCATCGAGGCCGACAAGAATAACTATGTCCCGAGGGTAGGTGCCGGCCCCCTCTGGGATTTTCACTAATACGGTCGCCTCTGTTATCTGCACTGGGGCGGGCAGAGGGGCAGACAGCACCTGCTTTGGAGTGGCGAGGCCTCGTTAGAGAGCAGTTTGATGGGTGCTTTTAGCTGACGAGCAGAGACAACGTCTTCCTTTCCGAATTACAGACGAGCATTCACTACAAGCAGAAACACCTTCTCGTTTCACTTGACGGCTTGAATCTTTAGCTGTGCTGGACCGCTGAGCTGCAGCAGGTCAGGATCCCGGAGGGGGCGTCTGACCGGGAGAATACTTTCCCGTCCCCTGGAGGCAGATGAGCTTCTGCTCCGCTAATGTGCCGACGTGGTTCCTATGCTGGAGCCATCTGGGCGAGGCGCCCACTGTTTCTCCTCCAGTTCAGATACTGCCTGAGCCCATCCCGGACACTGGCCCAAGGCACCAAAAATGCACACGTGTGGCCCCTGTCATCGATAACGTGGGAGGAGGCCAGGGGCTTAAAGGCATCTCCCCGTGCCCTTTAAAAGAAATTCAATTGATAATGCAAAACTGTCAAGTGGTGAGAGGGCAGGAAGAAAATACTAACCCTCCTCCCTCCTCTTGGCCCCTTCCCCAAAGCAGCCCGTACATTTTCTCCTGCGGCCAGCCCGAGGCCTTGCAGAGATGGAGGATTAGCTTTCCTCTCCCTCGATTTTTTAATAGAATCAGTAACACACCTGCTACACTCACTGTCTTGTGCCTTTCTTTTTCCTCAACTTTTTATGAAAAATGGCAAATATACATTTCACTGTATTTGCTTTATCTCTCTATATATACCCACAAAAATGGATATATTTTTGAACTTTTGAAAGTAAGTTAGACCTCACAACACTTCACCCCTAAATACTCCAACATGCCTAAGAGTAAGGCCTTTCTCCTACAGACCCATGATAGCATTGTCACACTAAAATATCAATGATTCCAGTATCTAATAACCAGTTTGTATTCAAATTTCCTTATTCATCCCAAGAATGTCTTTTCTAGTGTTTTTTCCAAAGTAGGACCCAGATGTCTGATACTATGTTTGGCTATATCTCCTCAGGTTCTTTTAATCTAGAAGGGTCCTCGCACCTTTTGTCCCCCATGACACTGACTTTTTGAAGAGTCCAGCCAGTCGTCTCATAGGATGTTGATGTTCTGGATTTGCCTGTTTCCTCAGAGGTCCTTTAACGTGATCCTTTATTCCCTGTATTTCCTGTACAGGGAGGTTAAGTCCAGAGGCTCGATGAGCAAGAGTTCTTCACTGGGGGCTGTCTTCCTCAGGCGGCCGCACATCGCCCGGGCCCGCTGTCAGTAACACTCTGTAGGATCCCTCGATTAAGGTGGCACGTGCTGGGCAGCTCCTCTGGCCAGGGCACTGCTCCCTCTGCAGTTATGTGGTCTGCTCAGGGATGCTTAGGACCAGCCGAAGCCCTCTTCCTGGTCAGCGTCCTCTGACGCAGTGCCTGAGCCAGCGAGCACACAGGAGGACGCAACTGGGGACTTCTGATTCTGTCTCCCCCTGCATCTGGTAGTTGGCCTGCTTTTATAAAGAGCTTTCCCTTTTCTCCCATGTCTGTGTGTGTATCATGATGGACTCACGGATTTTTTTGTATTCAGTGTATTACATAGTCATTCTTTTCAACATTCAAATTGTCCCAAATTCGGTCGCTATGAGACTCTTCAAGCTGACTGCTGTGTCCTCTGACATGACTCTACAGTCTTTGACCGTTTCTTCCCTTTCCAGCCCAAGGTGGTGTCGCAGCTCACTTCGTACTTAACTTGCCCCAGAATGGAAATGGTAACCTTAGTGAAGACTAGTGTTAATAAATCAAGACCTGGGAACTCTCCACTTACCCTGGCGATCATTCTGGTCCGTACACATAGGTCAGCCTTGGTCTTTGTAACAGCGGCACAGTGCTCCGACTGGAGGTGCCATAATGCATTTGACCAGTGTCCTGTGATGGAGATTTCTATTGTTCTACAGACAGTGTAGAGAATCCTTTGTTCTGCCAATGATGCTGCAGTAAATATCCCACCAACACGCACATGCGAGCTCGGCTGCAGGATGAATTCCTAGCAGTGGAAGTGCTGGGCCAAGGGGCATGGTGGATGGCCTCAATTCTGCCATTGCCCAGTTGCCCTTCAAAGAGAGCAGAGCCTTTGTGGTGCCCCGAAAACAGCGCCCAGTGCCGGCAGGAGTTCGGGACGGGTCAAAGGGGTGAATTCTCTCTCTGGTGAGCAGGCAGGTGCACTCTGCCCCAGCCTGTGGCGAGCCTGGACACACCCTCACTGTGCCTCCTTGTCCCCTGCAGGTGTTCCACTACATGAGCCTTGCTATCCTGACCTTTTTTATGACAGAAGTTTCCTTAAAAATATTTGTCTTCCGCTTGGAGTTCTTTCATCACAAGTTTGAAATCCTGGACGCCGTTGTCGTGGTGGTTTCCTTCGTCCTCGACATAGTCCTCATCTTCCGGGAGCACGAGTTTGAGGCTCTTGGCCTGCTGATTCTGCTCCGGCTGTGGCGGGTGGCCCGGATCATCAACGGTATGTCCCCTGTGCTCTGGGGCGCTGAGGGCATGGGGGAGCGGGTGGCGCCTGGGATGGGCACAGAGGCCCGCGGCTGTGGTTTCCGTTTCAGTCTCCCCCGCCCAGCAGTCGAGAGGGCAGTGGAGTCCAACTTGGGGCCCACCGCCACTGCTATGGCTACAAACATGTGCTCTGGGAGAGGGATCTTCCTCCTCTCGGCCCAGTTTTCATGATCATTAGAAGATACTCAGGGAGAGGGTCAGACTAACGCTGACCAGGCCCTCCGCGTGCCGTTTCCAGAGAGCCTTTGTCTTTAATTGGGTGTTTCCTGGAGAGCGTGCCACCAAAACATAGGAGGGGCGCTGTCCCAAAGTGGGGCAGGTAGGCTGAGAAACGCTGGGCACTGGATCCGCCCTTCGAGAAAGCCGCAACACGGCCGGGCACAACAAGGCTCTGAGAACTGGAATCGTTTTCCACATTGACCAGTTTGACGCTTTGGGGGAAACAGCACCTAGTAACGTTTACGTCGCAAACTCTGGCTTCAGGGAACACACCTGAGGAAATACTGCTTCACCATCTTTCAGGTAAAAATCCCATCCCTCGCACACACCCTGATGGTGCAGGGAGCTTGTTTCTGAGAAGCCGTGTTTCTGCTGTGATTTTAGGCGGACATGGTGATCGCCAGCTGGTTAATTGTCCAGCTGCCAGTGGACTAGTCTTGGTTGCCTGTGTGTGAAGCTGCTGTGTCAGAATCCCCTTCCTTCAGTGCTGCTTTCAGTGGAGTCTGACGCAGAGGTCTGAGGTGGGGCCCAGCCCGCTCAGCCGCAGCGTGACCTGGCAGGCGAAGGGCCACGTCTGCTCGGATGAGGGGCTGTGACAGCTCTGCCTGTGGGCACTGCAGGCTCTCGTTGGCTTCAGGGGCCAGCTCCGATCTAGTGATTAAAATAAAGCCCACTAAGAACGTCCATTTGGGTTCTGTCAGAGGATATACAGGAAGCTTTTCAGATACTACTGAAGATGTGTATGCTCGTTGATGGTTTCGTTAATCGAAGAGAAAGATACTCTGTACAAAGACTATGCACAATTGAGGTAGAGAAACTATCACTGATCATAATTGACTCACGAGCCAGTTCTCACCCGTTCCTCTCGCGCCACACCGCTGTGTGATTTGCTTCAGCAGAGGAAGCCAGAAGAATGAGATGTGTTCACTTTCTCAGTCTAAATGGGAGCAGGACGTGGAAGAATTACTAGTGCCCCTTATCACCTTGCTGTAAGATTTAGCAGCATGACACAAAAGGGCTGAAAACGCAACACAAGGCTACACTGGATTCAGCGGGACAGCCAAGGTGGCCACGGCCTAGGGCCCGGTGCTCCCAGGCCTCCTGGCACTGTGTGTGGGTACCACCTCCAGACAGTTACTCTCACCTGGAAAGGGCGGAGTACTGCCAGTTGCAGCCTAGTGTTTTGAGGCCATGTCCTCACTGTGTGGGCATTTGTGAGCCATGAGATGAGGCCGATGACCCCTCCATCAGCCAAAATTTAGGTTTTTGCCTGACAACTGTGGGAGGCAGAAAGCTGGGAAAGTGACAGTCCCAACCCCAAGCTTGAGCATTTCCAGCTTTGCACTTCCGTGGCTTTTGTGCACACTCCTTAGCAGGAAAACTACTTAGCAGCAGAAATACTGTCACAAACAAACAAGCTCTGTATTAAGGAGCTTAATGCTCCTCTGGTCAGTTTTTTATTTTTTTTTGGCAAGGAAGATTGGCCCTCAGCTACCATGTTACCAACTTTCCTCTTTTTGCTGAGGAAGATTGGCCCTGAGCTACCATCTGTGTCAATCTTCCTCTATTTTGTATGTGGGATGCCACCACAGTGTGGCTTGATGAGCAGTGTGTAGATCTGCACCCAGAATCTGAACTGCAAACCTCAGGCCGCCAAAGCAAAGTATGCGAACTTAACCACTATGCCACTGGGTCAGCACCTGGATTATTTTTAAGGATTTCTCAGCCCATGCAAGCGGAAGAGAAATATTTTACAACTGAGTACTAAGTAGGTCAGAAATGAAAAACCTGACCCTCCTTGTTCCAACGCCTTTAAGCAATTACTGTTTCCTGTCACCACTCTTCCCACCTGTAGACATTTATAAGGAATGTGGATTTTTTTTCAAGTGGTTAAACTAGAAACCAGTATCATTGAGACCCTCAATTATTTTCCAGGGATCATTATCTCGGTTAAGACACGTTCAGAACGGCAGCTGTTAAGGCTGAAACAGATGAATATACAATTGGCCGCCAAGGTCCAACACCTGGAGTTCAGCTGCTCTGAGAAGGTAAGGAGGCTTCGGGGAGCGGGCCGTCCGTCTGCGGCTCTGCCTTCCGCAGGGGCGTCTCGCCGCCAGACCTTTGCTTACGCGGCGCCCTGGGCTCCGTCTCCCGTCCTTCCAGACACAGCCTGCGCCGCCTCCCTCCCAGAGCTCTGGCAGGCGCCCCTCCTCGGAGTCCACTGGACCCCAGCTGCCTGCCAGTCTCCTTCCGAGGCTGACTCCACAGGGAGCGGAGCTTCCATTCAGCTGTCCCCCTGTGCCCGGGCTCACTGAAGGACTGTCACATCCCTGGTGAGGCTCAGAAGGTAAAGCCGCTTATCTTTCTGCTTTTGTAATCACAGGAACAAGAAATTGAAAGACTGAACAAGCTCCTGCAACAGCACGGACTTCTTGGTGAGGTGATCTAGACGGGGACGGGCCTGTGCCTGTGATGAGAAGGACACCAGCCGCTCCTGGGCTGCCTCGGGGAGAGGCTTGTTCGACGCCTTTGCCTCACTCCCGCCCGGCTTGGATTCCGGGGGTCCCGGTTTTCTGGAATGCTCTGTTCCTCCCTTGGTACGACCTTGAGCTCCCCCTCCCATTCCTGCCCCACACCGTGCCCGAAATGTACCAAACTGTCTTTCCTCATGCTGGACACTTTACTCTTGCCTGAAAATGAACAGAGCTGGACACTTACTAGTTGTATATAAAATTTAATCTCAGCGAATGTATAGTTCTCACGTTTGGCGTGTACATTGAGGAACCAGTGCATCTTTCACGTGAGCACCCTAAAAGACAAAACAGGAAGCTACCTTAGCCACCAGCCCATTCTAGAAAACTCTTACCTTCCCAAGCTGTTCTAAACAGCTCCTCTTATCACATTTTCCCCCAGGGAGTTGTTCTTGGGTACCCAGCCCCTCCTCTGCATCAAGCTTCTAGCTGGCTCCACCTCGTTCTGCCAAATGGCAACATTTTTCTCAATTACTGTACAATTAATGTATAAAATAAACTCTCTCCTTCCTTTGGGCCCTCCTACCATATTCTTTCCAGCTTCGACTGCTTGGAACTGCTCTGTGGCATCCCACACCAGCCCACCAGTCAGAGAGCTAGCTAGCTACAGTGCCTGGTACAGAAACGGCAATTAGACCCAAGACTCCACTATAATTACTGTGACATTTGGGGGAAGAGCCCCTCGTGAGGCCTGGTACTCGCAAAATTTTAACAATATTTTGCTATTTTTGTATTCAACGGGACCTGAAAAGAAAACCTGAACTAAAAACAGCGAATATTTTTACAATAACACCTTAAAGCAGGGGGTGAATAAACTGGATAACCCTCTGCGCCCGAGCTGCATCAAGGGCTGTCTGCTTTACTGACTTCCCAAAGGCACAACTTGCCTCCAAACATGATCTATGTGTTGAGAGGACGGGAAATGACCACGACCAGGTGGTGCCCCACTCTGAAGTCAAACCAAGTAGACCAAGATTTCCAAAAGGAAAAAAAGGAGGGAAGTGGGTGGAGACAGGAGGTGTGTTGGTTTGGGGGCGACCTCGAGGGTTGGAAATACAATAAAAAGGGGTGCCTCTGAGAGAGCCAGGGCCCCACACGCACTCTAGTCCAGCAGTGTGGTGCGGTTTCCTTAATTAACGACTTACGTCAAACAAACGGGAAGAAGAAATTGAAGGGCAGCTTGGCATTGATGGTTGGCTGGGCCCTGAAGCCTGCCTCTGCAGGTGCAGACACGTCCACAAAAGTCACCGCAGTGGAAATGAGAACCGTCCTCTCACTTCCTGAGCTGGTCTGAAAGGAAGCGTGATGTGAGCCCTGCCCTCCAGCGTCGCCAGGATAACCAAGATGGCACAGCTTTCACTCCCCTCCCCCAACCACAGCGCTCACAAGTCTGACAGGTCCAGCCGTGAACTCGGAGGAGGGACACGGCTTTACTCAGGTCGTCCTGACACATCAATGTCAACCACGGCCCCACTTTCACAAGAATTTTAAAGGTCAAATCTAAACAAGAAGGCTAATATGAATAAAGCCATTATCAGTGGGGTTTCTCTAAGTAAAAGATAATGACTGTTAAATTGTTTTAAGAATCCAGATTGTTTAAATTTTAATTATGATCTTTTTCCCAAAATAATAAATGCCGCCTATCACACAAGTTTTGTCTGGCCTTGTGTCATAACCTCTCCGCTCACGGTCGGGCCCACCTCAGGAAACGCGGATGCAATCAGACGAGCGGTCACGTTCACGATTCTAGCCTGTGGGTTCAGCAAGGAGCCGTACTTAGTCCACTCCACCTCCACAGCCAAAGCCACCGGGAGCTGGCAGGCATCCTGCACAACAAAGGCCATTAATCAGCCTGAGTATTACACAACCTCAAGTCAGACTTAATCTGCAGTTCAGAGATTTAATTATAAAATGTTTCACATATTACAAAATGTTCTGAACAAGAGAATGAACAGACTCTAGAAGTTCAGATAAAAACAGCTGAGAGAAAGCACATATTTTAAAGTACTCAATGCTCCAAAAATATGTTAACACCTGAAGCGTCATTTTTCCACTCCCGCCTATTTCTGAAGAGGCAGCATTACCTGGGAGCTGTGGTAATGCCAAGGCCCTGCTGTGGCCCCTTCGGGGCCCTGGCCGCACTAAGTCATCTCCCTGTTTAATCGCCCTCAGACACTTCGGGAGGAAACTGGCATGGGGCGGGGAGAGAGAAAATGGCAGTATTAACAGACAGAAATTAAACCTGACTGCAAATCATATGAAATGCTCTTAGAGGAAATTTAAGTGCTTTCTTTTCATTTATCCGATTTCATCAGTTGGCAATGAAGATGTTACACTGGGGTATACAACATAAGTTGTCAAAGATACTAACAACTCTCCCTCTGACCCGTGAGCAATGGCGCCACAACGGAGCTGCCTGCGTCCGGGCTGGATGCCGTGGCAGCTGAGTCTGAGGCCTCTGCCCCAGGACTTTGCTCGGTCAGCTCCAAGGAAAAGTGGGCGAGCGGGCCTTCGAGAGCTCTTTCCTGCCCTTAGAGGCTCTGCAGTCGGCAAATGCTGACTGGTGAGGCTGCGTGAGGAGCAGATGGGATTCCACTGTAGGGCTCTACTTCTCTGTGAGACAAATCTTTGCACAATGAAAAGTTTTTAAAAATACGTCTCTTGGGGGCATGAAAAGCTAGCAGGCCTGCTAAATTGGTTACCTGCCAAAAAGGCACTGGTGGAGTTCCCTGGCTTGGAACTGCCTCTGAAGAAGTGTGCAGGCTGGAAACTCCTTGAGAACATCCTGTCATTAGGAGAAGACGCACAGGCGGCTGGCGCCCACTTCTACCCACAAGGTTAGCACAAACCCGCTCCAGGCCTCAGAGCTCCCCGCACCGGCACAGACCCTGGCGATGCTAATGTCCGCACTTCTGCCTCTCCTCCCAGCCAATGCTCTCTCCTCTGAGGGGGAGTAATAACTGGATGTCTTCGCCCATCTCCGAGAAGCCAGAAGCAATCTGCCCGGTTCACTGAGGCAGCAGAGCTGAGCCAAGACTCAGCAGCCGACCAGCAGGGACTGAGTCATCACACCGCGGGCCTCTGCTGGGGACTGGTGGGGAGGGCGGAGCAGAGCTGCGAGCAGTCCTCAGCCCCTGGGTCCCCATGCTATAAATATGCTAAGCAGATAATGAGACGCCTGAAGAAACTGTGACAAGAAAAAGCTGGGCAATTAATGGATAAGATGGAGAGCACGCCTCCGCTGATGGGGACCGGCTCACACTCCGGCTGAGACAAAAGAAAAAGGTGGGCAGAAGAGTCACATGTGATCAGGAATCTATTTGTAGGCTGTCAACTTCCATTAAACTCTTTGGGGAACTTTGGAATTGAAAGCTTTCACATACGGGCTGCCTGTAGAGACCTGGGAACAATGGATGGGACAGCTACGTGGACTGGATGATGTCCCCATCTTCTGAGACAGTACTCACAGCCATCTACCATACCGATGTCTAGAGAAGGTCTCGTGCAACCCAACAATGACGGCAGGAGTAGTCAGGACGGTGGTCAGCAGTTCCTATTTCTGGAGTGACCACTAGGTACCCCAAATGTTACCCCATTTAACCTTCTCAACAAATCCATGAGGTCGGTACTATGACTATCACTCCCAAAGGCTCGAATCCACAAAATTGCTGGCCAAAGGCCAGAGTGCCAATGAGGGGCTGCATCAGTATTCGAGATCCAGGCCCCCCTGACAACAAAGCCCAAGCTCCTACCAGCCACCCACCTCCTCACCAGGGAGCTCCCCCAGGTGCCTGTCTCCCCCAGGGGAGGAAGAGCAGGTGGAAGCAGGAGAGACTGCAAGCCTGTGGCCTTCAACTCTTCCCCATTACCTTCACGTGGGATGCCTGGGTGACAAAGTGGACAGGCACCCAGTCCAGCACATCCTGAGCCTGGGAATTTCCAAAAGGGGCCACATAATCTGGGAAGCCCTGGCCCTTCAGCAGGCTCTTCACCTTCTGCCCCACAAGCTGACATGTGACAGCTCCAGTCAGTCTTTGGGGAAGGAAAAAGAGGTCAATTGATTGAGGCTACTGTTCACACCTGCTGTTTTTACAGACCTCAACAACGCACATGCTCTCCCCAGTTTATCTTCTCATTCTTGAAAGGGGGATTTGACAGAAGCCAAAGTGTCTCTAACTTTGCAAAATCTTGGTTGGCAAGAGAGTTGAATCCAGAACAATGTTTCCCAAACTGTGTTCCATTGAGAGGTTCTGTACAAGAAGGGTTTCATGGCCCAAAGTTCAGGAAACACTGCATAGCCATGTCCCTCCTGAGGCACACTGGCATAGTCAAGGCTCTGACAAGTCCTACAGTAAGGAATCACGTTTTTAACTTTAACTCAGCATTTCCCAAACACATTAGACCGCAGACCTATCCTTACTGACATCTTGTGGAAATGTATGCCATGGAAGCCCTTTGAGAAATGCTGGTCTAAAGTGATCAGAACTAATAATGTAAATGGTGAATACTGGTCTAACCAAAATAATGATATAATTACCCTGGGCAGATGTACGGACGGGAAGTGAAGTGGGTGATGGGGTAGGAGACGGAAGGGGAAAGAGCCAAATCTTCAATAGTGGGAACTCAATAATTCATAAAACCAAAAAATCAAGAATCAGCATGCAGGTTACTTAAAGATTTGGGGGTAAATTTCCAAACAATCAGCTACAAGAGCTGAAAGTGGTTGCCTGGGGGGCTGCGGGGCGGGGGGCGGGGAGGGGGTGGAAATGAGAGCAAGAATCGCTGTCTTTGTATCAAGCCTGCAGAGCTGTCTGACCTTTGACATGTGTTCATGTTTGATGATAAAAAGGTAACTGAGAAACACAGATCACATTCGGGCCCCTCGCTGGGGCCGCTGTGCTGCATCTATTAAAATTCAGAAACACGGGAAGGACTTTCAGGGAAAACACTTTTGCTGTGAACTCAAGCGCTATGAAACCTTAAAACATCCAGAGCCTTGAGATTTTTACTCTACCATATTTGATAAGGAAAATGATTATAATAGTTTTCTTTTGAATAATGACCAATAGTTTATGGTTATGAGAATTAAAATTAGAAAATGAGAAAACCGCACCATTATAAAGTATTCTCACTATTGCTACTATTCATTACTAACGGTAACACGGTGATTGTGGCTTTCATATGCTCTCGCCAGCGGATGCCAAGGTCTGACTAAGATGGGGAAGGTAAGAATGCTTGTGTTCTGATCGACACAAATGAGTTCAAGTAGAAACAAGTTACTCTCTGACCTTAGTTTACAGCCAGACTGCATATTGTAACCAAATAATACCGGGGCTCGGACCCCCTCTATCGCTAAGCAGTCTTGCTCAGCTGTGCTGCGAAGGATAGTAAACTGTCCATGTCTGTTCGTGGTCTGAATAATCCCGGACATTCACAGGAAGTTAAGGGACAATCACCCAGTACTAACGCAGCCTGACTCTCAGGACACAGTGTCTCATGTGTGACATGAAACATCCCTTTACAAACAGCCCTTCTCTGGGCCTCTGGGATTTTGACAGTTATTTCCCAGGAGAGGGCAAAAAGCAGTTATAACTATTTGCCTTGGTTAGTAGATCCTAAGAAGGAAAGTACTCAGAAACTGGCCCTTCAAAATTAATTCCAAGTTTTCAAAACCATGCAATTTGTTTAAGAGTCTCTGTTTAAGAGTGAAATTAAATACATCTAAATGTCTTAAGATTTTCCTTATACAACACTGACATTCTTCTGGGCCATGCTGTTTCACCCCAACCGCCAGTCTCCACACAGTCCCACCTGCTGTGCAGCCAGACCCACCACACGGCGGACGCTCTGGCGGAGACTGGCCGCTCCAGCCCACAGGACCCTCAGCCATAAAGAGAAGGACGGCCCATGCCCACGGACAGGGAAGGCAACCTCCTTGACAGAACCAAAAAGGATATCCCTTCCGAGGCCGAAATCCAGCAGCTAACGGGAGCCCCGCAACATAACCAGGGTTTCCACTGAGAAGGACTGGCTTGGTATTTTGCTGGAAGACAATAGAGAAATGCTCCCAAATAATTCTCATTTGAATAAGGAAATGGCAGGGTAAAATGAAATACTTTTCATAATAAAATCTGGGATTGCCAACCAATAAAAGAATATAGTCAGAACTATAAATCTATCTGCTGAGTGTGGGAGCGCATCATGCTGTCAAAGGACAAGCTCATGTGGAAGAGCAGCTTATCACGAATGGAAGAGAGACAAGGACCCTCCTGGCTTCTTTACCAGCTCCACAGGCACCAGGCAAGCCCTTTGTCAGCACAAAGGGTTAGATGTGGTAACACTTCTAAATTGAAATTTTTTTTTCACTTAGAAGTTATGATTTCTTTTTACTTGGCAATTAAATACTTGTACATAAGTGATGAAACTTACCTGAATAAAACGAATTTCAAACTTTTGCTGGAACGGAACCACCGCACTGCTGACTGTCCCCAGGAGGAGAGAGACAGCAGCCTTGGTTACGTCACCTGCGTCTGTATATGTGAGGCTGTACTGGACCTACAAACAGAGCGACACTCCCAATCATCCGTTCCCATGACATTCCTGTAGCCGCACTAATAACTCAAATACCCATCTTCCCCTTGTGGGAGCTTCTCTTTCCTGCCCAGTCGGATGACTGAGGCGTGATCTCGGCATCACCCCGCAGCTGACAGACAGGGTCATTTGAGCCTCTCTGTACCCAATTACCAAGTTCCAAATCGGCTGGTCTGAGCAGACTGTAATCAGTCTATCTCTGCTAAGGAAACGTGTAAAAATCAAACAACAGCAACAATAACCAATTTTGGTGTATTCTTGTAAGTCACTGGGTTTGTGGAGAAAAATCACACGATCACTTCAGAGACAAGTAAAGAAGCGTCCTCTGCTGAGACAGCACAGAGGCAAGCAGGAGGCCAAGGCAAGGCAGGCCACACCACAGGATGGGCCAGAGCCTGTGGAGGGTGTCCAGGGCCCCTCAGGACCACGGAGCTGGAGTCTGCCAAACAGATGTAGCTTTCACAGCCAAACTGGGCACCTACCTCAAGAACCACGTTAGAGCAGATCCTTATATCCCCAACCTCGGCAAGAGCCTGCTTCAACACGGCAGTGTCTTCCCGTCGGGTGAGCGTCTTATTTAGAGACTGAATGACGACAGACTGAACAGTGATGGGGACCTGCAAGGTAAAGAAGTCCTGGATCACTAAAGACACACTACAACAGAGGTGACCAGGTTAAAATAATGAAACATTTGAAACAAACCTCCACTGATACGCTGCCAAGTAGGGAAAAACACATGCTAGAGAACGTGCCCGCTCTAATTCCACATTTACAAAAACACAGGTATTTATATGTAGATACACATATCCACTCACATAGAAAATGCTTGAGAAGGGTCTCAACAAAACTTTAAAAGTGGCTACCTCTGAAAACATATGTTCACACAAAAACTTGTACACAAATAATCATAGCAGCATTCTAGCAGCCAAAAACCGAAAACAACCTAAATGTTCATCAACTGATGAATGGATAAATAAAATATGGCATATCCACACAAAAGATTATTACTCATCCACAAAAAGGAATGAAGCACTGACACCTGCTACAACATAAATCAATCTTGAAAACATGCTAAGCGAAGAAGCCAGACACAAAAGGTCACATATTATATGATTCCATTTATAGGAAATGTCCAGAATAAGCAAATCCATAGAGACAGAAAATAAAACTGGTGGTTGCCAGGGGCTGGGGGAGGGTTGGGGAAGAATGAGGAGTGACTGCTGATGAGCACAGGCTTTCTTTTTGAGGTGATGGAAACGTTCTGGAATTAGATACTGACAACTGCACAACCCTGTGAATACACTAAAAACCACACAACTGTGCACTTTATAATGAGTTTTATGGTATGTGAATTATGTCACACACACACACACAATACTCCATCACACCATCAAGCGTATACTCTCACTTCTACAGCACAGCTCCTACTGACAAATCACCAGCTCTGTACTCACACATGCGCATTCTCCACACAGTCCCAGCGCACAACCTCCCTGAATATCCACCTGACCCAACTGATACACACACACACATACACACAGAGTGGTTATCTACGGGTCTGGCTGGTGGGATTATGGGTAAGAGAAAACAAGAGACAGACAAATCTTTTAAGCAGTATCGGGAAGCCCTGGTTAGCCCAATGCCATTAAAGGACATTTTTCATTTGTGGCCATTGCCAGCAGAGTGACGAAGCAGCAAGCAATCCTTTAAATGTCTCAAATCTCTAGATAGCTGGGCCTCTTCGTACTGTGTGACGAATCTGACGTTTGCTCTAAATGTCAGCTCTTAGAAACCACTGTTTAGGAAGAAGCCTAACTTGTATCTAGTTGTTTATATTGCTTTGAACTTTGCCCTCAATCATGTACCATGCTGTTTATAATTCAAAATCACCAAGAATTTAAGCTGTCTTTTTATAAATAAATAAGTAGTCCTTATGTGTCTGCTCCCATGACCAAGATGACCTTCAACTGTCCTCATGAGTCAAACCTCTCACATAAGAATGTGACACGGTTCAGAAGCAAAGATGAGCCGTCCTGTGAAAGAGCGGCAGAAGGGCAAAACCAACCGCAATGCCCTCTGCACCAGTCGCGCCTGTGGGCTGAAGAGTCACGCAGGGAGTCCCATCTCCGAGTTAATTAGCTCTTGTTTAAGCAGCAAAAGACGACCCTGGCTTCCTTTATCTGAACATACTGACCCCAGACTCGGCAATGATACTGGGTTCCACGAAAGTGCACACCCTTCCATACCCAGCCTCTGACGGAGCAGCTCCCATGGCGTGTGGGTGTGGTTGGCAGAAACCAGAGGGTCAGTCTAAACAAGCAGTGGCAAGATGGACAGACGAGTGTAAATGGCAAGAGCTGCACTAGTCTATCAGGCTCCACTGGAACAGCCACAGGAATGAAAATGGTAGGGCTGTTCTGGTTTCCTGACTGTCCTACTCAATCATAGCCCAGCCCCAAATGCCCACGGGCAAAGAGCTAAAGCATAATTACCAAGGAACTATGGGGCCATCACAGTCTGTCACTGAAGGTTCGACAGGTAGTGACAGAGATCCCAGGCGATCGTAGCGGGCTGCACTGACTGAGGACACTGGACGCACTGTTTTACTTCTGATCCTAACAGACCCTGGAAGGTGTTTTTAAAAGTTTAAATCTCTCATTCGTTCATATGTTTGCCCTTTAGAGCACAAACTTTGGTGTCACACAGGTCTGAGTGGAAGCCCCAGTCTGCCTCCTCCTGACGGCTGGCCACAGCATACCACGAGAGAACGTGTGTGAAGCTTCTAACTCTGGGCCTGGCACAACAGAGCTAGTCCAGTGTCGTGGTTGAGAATAAGGTCTCTGGGGCAAGAGGGCCTGGATTCCTGTCCCAGCTCTGCCACTTGCCCGCTCTGCAGCCTTGGGCAAGCGAATTCATCTCTCTGTGACTCAGGCGCCAGAGAGCGACAACACCAGGACCTGCCTCCTGGATCACTGAGACGACTGAAGGACGTCAGACAGGTACAGCACTTGGAAGAGCGCTTGGCGCATAGTGCGTGCCTCTAAGTGACAGCCCGCTACTTCTCAGAATAGGTATTCCCTAATTATTTGAGCCAATCCCTAGTCATTCATTTGCTGAACACATAACCCACTGAGCGCCCTGCACGCATTAGGCACCACCCTAGTACTAAGGATACGTCGTGGACAGGGCCACTGCCCGCCCCGCACGGTCCCATCTTTAAATGGTAGAATCAAAGCCCTTTCTGGTGGCTAGAGGTGTTTCAGAGCTAGTCTACTACATGACTTTCAAACTGGGTTCCCAGGAACCATAGGGTTCCTCAGAGGAACCAAACAGGAGGGAGACGAGGGCACCGGGCAGGTGGAGGGCTTCTGGCCTCGGGTTCAATCCAGGTTACACGCTAGGGAGAGTTCTGCTTGACATCTCACTTCAAGAAGCTCTACAACTAAAACAAGTTTGAAAACACCTTCACAGATGAGGAAACCCTGAAGTCCAAAGGGACACAACTACTTCCCTTTGAATGACTACCTCAAACACACGTTTGTGTCCGGAAACTTCATGAAACCAATCACTGTGGGCGTCACTGTCCCCAGTGCTGAGTGCTTCCTGTGCGCCCAGTGCTACGCCAAGCTCCTCGTGTGCATTCTCCCACTCGAGCCTCACATCAGGCCTCTGGGGCACTCACCATCTGCTTGACCATCAGGGAGACTGAGGCACGTGTTATATGAGAAAATAATGGCAAAGCTGAGTTGTGAACCAAGACAGACTGATCCAAGGCTCTGGGAGACTATGACAAGGCCATCGCCTTGGGCCTCTTTGGGGACTGTATTCACAGAAAGGCATAGGGTGCAGACTCAAGAATAAGGGGCAGATCCACGTTCCTTCTCTCTGACGTATCCACAAAGAGATGATGGCCTCCTGACCACAGCTGGACAGAGCCCCTGGGCTGGGGGCGAGAAGGCTTTGAACAGAACCCCCCTGCCACCCAACCCTGGAAGCGACACTGAGAGTGCTCCCCTCGTACACAGGCGCCCACTCTCTGGGCACGACGTTCACCTCGTGTGCACTGGGCAGACAGCGTCCTGGGAGCCAGCCAGCCCTCCTGCCCAGAGATGCCCTGAAAGCACAGAGGCCAGTCGCACCCGCTGTCAGTCAAGACAGCTGTGCCAGTAAACACGAAAATGTGTGGAACTACAAAACTGAGGGAATTTGAAAATCTGGCCCTTTTGTGACTACAAAAACATCATCTACTAAGGTGCTTCCCTATTTCATTTCTGCTTGCTTGCTTTTCGGCAAATGTTTTTGTTATTGGCAGTAAGGTACCTTCTGATCATAAGTGTATTCATTTCAAAGGGCTCAGAAATAAGACAGTGTGTTACAAACTTTCCACAAGAAATACTCTTACCTCTGTCTTTGAATTCGGCACCTAGACAAAACAAAAACAAAAACAAATTTTGTCAAGTACATCAAAAAGAAGCATTTTCATTGCTTTCTCAGACCGAGGCTTAAAGGACAATTTCATCTACTTCATAGGCATAGTCTTCACAAAGAGGAAAACAGAATATCCTTAATCAAGACTTGCCATGCACATATTTCTATCTATGTGACAATCAAAGAGGTAACTTTACATTTCTCTTCTAGACGCATTTCCTTCAGACTGGAACCTTAACAGAGCTGGTCTCAGGAAGCCTCGGTGCTCAGTGTCATCACTCCGTATTTTCCACACGGACATCAGTGACACAGCACGTGGGGAAGACATGGCCCCCATCCTCCAGGGCACTCGTGCTGTGCCTGTCCTCACCAGAAGGACACTATTGCTTGCCCAGGCGATTTCCACAGCCTAAGTAGTCTTCCTGCCTCCAGCCCCAGCCCCCTTGACGCCATGCTCCTGCCTCCCTGACACTGCCAGAGCTCTGTCTGAAGGGCTGGACCTCCCTGCATTTCCCATCCCCATCTCCCTCAACCTCACTTCTCTCATCACAACACACCCTATCAGGTCAGTGGGAGCTTTGGGGAGGGAGACAAGTAGACATGTTTGGGGAGGCCTGTGCTGAAAGAGAACTGCGCCTGCGGGCCCGAGGGACGACCTCCAGGACAACTGCAAGAAGTCAGACCAACTGGGAGAATTCACAGGCCGACACGGCTGATTTATGAGAAGAGAGGGAGAGGAAAAGGGAGCAGAGAGGAAAAGGTTAAACTTGGTCCTGAAAATTGAAGCTCAGAGGAATACTGGTGTCACGGACCACCCTGCCCCATGCTCCCCACTCCAAAAATAAAGGAAATCAGGAGGGGGGCTTTCACAATAACATGGTTTTTAATGACTGAAAAAGTCTTCTCCCTTTGTGACCCTCCATGTCATCCACCAAGTGGGCCAGTGGGCTGGCTCATTTATTCAGTTCAGGCTTCAGCCACTGCAACCAGAAGGAGAGGGCCTCTCCACACCGCCGCCTCGCCTCCCTTCTCCAGCGATCCTAGTTCCTGTCCTTTCCTGGGCGCCTGTTTCACCTCCAGCCAGAAAGGGGACTTTCTATTCTTTTCTGGTCAGTTTCTCAGAGAGGCATATTTTTGGTGTGAATATGATTATTTCTGTCACAGACATTAAGATGTTTTTCTAATTTCTAAAGTTTTTGGTTATTAAATAGTTTGTTTTCAGGAGACAGACATTATTGGTTACCATGAAAATGAATGAAAGCAAAATATGAACTAACTACATAAAAATAAAAATTATTTTAAGTGATTATTTCAATAGCTTTGGTATCAGTATACCAAAGAACTGGAGAAGAAAAATTTAAATTTGTGCATCAATCGCGTACTGAAATTATTCTATACTCATCATATTTTTAAAAGGTACAAAGAACAGAAACAAGCCTAGCGAATCAGTTTCACTTCAAAATAATTCTTACCCTCAAAATTTTGGGGCTGCTGTAATAAGCCATGCTCAGGGCCTCAATTTCTTCACACTGTTCCAAATTTATCCTTCTGGTGCACTTAACAGCTTGGTTAACCAGAAATGCTGGAAATCATAACAATCCCAAGGGAAAAAAACAATAACAAAGAGAAGACAATTTTCAACTGTCCAATGGTAACTAAAACATTGTAATCTAAGTAAAACCGCAAAATAAATTATGGCATGGATATACAACACGCTTAAAATAGGGCTTAAAAATTATTTTTCAAATAGGTAACACATTCACACAGTTCAAAATTCAAAAGGTACAAAGAAGTCCCCCCCCACCCCCTCCCCCGGCCCCCGCTGCCACCAGTTCCCTTCCCCAGAGACATCAGCTGAAGTTCTTGAGTATCTTTCTGGAAATAGCCTATGCAAATAAAAGCGTATGTACAGCGATTTTTAGTGTTTCTTTCCTCTTTTGGAAACAAATGCACGATATATATTCCACTCTTTGGTTTTTTTCACTGAACAATCTACCTTGGAGTTCAGTCTATCTCAGTACATGAAGAACTTCCTCCTCTTCTTTTCAGGGATAATCTGTATTCTGTTAGATACGCCATCATTTATTCAACCAGTTCCCCATTAATGGACACTTCAGTTGTCTCTAGCTTTGCTATCACAAACAATGCTGCAATCTATTATTTTGCAAGTGGGCCAGAGTTTCTGTAGGACCAACTCCTAGAAGTGGAACAGCTGGGTCAAAGGGCATATTCATCTGCGATTTTGATACATATTGCTAAACTGCTCTTCACAGAGCTTGGACCAATTTACAGTCCCAACTATGTAGATGAGCGCCTGCTTCCTCACAGCCTTAAATTTCTCCAGCTTTGCCAATCCATTAGGTGGAAATGGTATCTCAGTTTGGTTTAAATTTACACTGTTCCTATCGAGAGCAAGGTTAAGCATCTTCTCAACAGAACACATTTTCCTTCATGTACAAATGATGCTTCATTAAGCCACAGGCTCTCATGCCCTACTTGTCTAGCTTCTTCTTAGTGAAGCTGGCTTAAGGACTGGAGGGTCACTCCACGGGTTCTGTGACGCTCCTGAAAGGAGCAGCAGCGACAGGAGGCAGCTGCGTGGCCTGCATCCCTGCCCTATCAAGCCCGAGTGAGCCGGAGCAAGAAACTGAATGTTTCGCAGTCTCCACATTTGAAAAATGAAGATAACCCCGCCTCAGAGCATCGTCGTAAGGATCAAATGGAAAAACACACACAGGCACTTAACACAATACCAGCACACAGTAAGCGCTTAATAAATGTTAGCTATGGATAAACTTCAGCTCCGGTGAAGAAAGAACTTTCCAACAACCAGAAGTGTTAAACAACTGACTGGGCTGGTTTCAGGTAGTGAGTTCCCCATCACTACAAGTGCTCAAGCAGTGACTGCATGTAGTAAAGATTCTGGCCCTGTGTGGGAAACTGAACTACGTTACCTTTGAGGCCTCTTTCAACTCGAAGACTGTTTATCTAGTTATGAAGCCTGTTTAACTATGCCTACTACAAAGTTAAACTAATAGCAAATTCTGTTAACAGAGAGAAAGAAAAACGCCCTCTCTCTTACCTGCAGGGTTATCATCGGTGCATAGAGATGACGTGAGGGGAGAAGGAAATCTCAAAAATGAATCTGAAGTCTGCAGATGAGCCCCATACTGCAAAGAGAACAGCAGCTGTTATGGTGCTATTAAGGCACTCGCTCGCTCCTCGCTTACTAGATGCCCACCAAGCGCCGGGCAGCAGTGCAGCCATCAGGAACTTACTGTGCACTGGGTACTGTGTTAAGCACTGGCACGTGTTTTCCCATTTGATCCTTACAATGATCCTCTAAGGAAGAGTTATCTTCATTTTTCAGATGCAGATACTGATGAGCAAAAAAGAGATGTGGTCTTTGCCTGCATGGAGTTTATATCAAGCTGCCCCACACTATTCTTTTAAGGATGTTTGTTTCTGGGGCTGGCCCTGTGGCCGAGTGGTTAAGTTCACGCGCTCCCCTTTAGCGGCCCAGGGTTCATTGGTTCAGATCCTGGGTGCAGACCTATGCACCGCTCATCATGCCATGCTGTGGCAGCATCCCACATAAAAGAACTAGAATATACAACTACAACTAGGATATACAACTGTGTACTGGGGCTTTGGGGAGAAAAAAAAAAGAGGAAGATTGGCAACAGATGCTAGCTCAGGGCCAATCTTAAAAAAAAAAAGGATGTATGTTTCTATGTATGCATGTTACTGTATTTGCAGGCTTTTCATTACAGAATTCCTCTGGAAAGGTGTTTAAGAAGCTGACAGAAGCATCTGCCTCTGCAGACAGGAACTGGGTGGCCAGGGACAGGGGTGAGAGAAGTAATCATTTTCCACTAGCAGTAATTATTTAAATGACAGGTAACAGTATACATTAAAATCATAACGCTGATATGCCTTCTTTCCCAAAACCAAACCTCATGAAATTTTCCACAATATTCAAAACAAAATTTACAGTTCTTGGGCATACAGCTAATTTTCTTGAATTTAAAAGTATCCAAATGCCTTGGTGCCAGCAAGGATATGGGGAAAGGAACCTCCTCCCTCACGGGAGCTGGGAGTATAAACTCCTGCAGTCTTTCTGGAGGGCAAGCTGGTATTAATATTTAAAATTTCCGTTCATTTTGACCAAGTTAACCCATTTATAGGAATGTAGCCTAAGGATTTAATTAGACCTAGATATATGTATCTATAAGAAAGCTCACTGTGGGGGCCGCCCCATGGCTGAGTGGTTAAGTTCACACACTCTGCTTCAGTGGCCCAGGGTTTCACCGGTTCAAATCCTGGGCACTGACATGGCACCGCTCATCAAGCCATGCTGAGGCGGCATTCCACATGCCACAGCTAGAAGGACCCACAACTGAAAATATACAACTATGTACCGGGGGGCTTTGGGGAGAAAAAGGAAAAATAAAATCTTAAAAAAAAAAAGAATGTTCACTGTGGATTATTTATAATAGCAAAAACTGGAAACAAATGTCTGTTAATAGTGGAATGGCTCAATAATAAACGACAATACACACACAGAAGGAGTATTTTGTATCAGTAAAACATAGCTGCAACGCTAGCTTGGACAAGTCGCTTTCCTACACCTGCTTTCCTCGTCAGTTAGGTGGGGACAATGATGTGTCTCTCGCAGGGCTGTGTGAGGTGATACCTGGAGAGCTCCGCACAGGGCCCAGCACGTGGGAAATGCTCAGGATACAGTAACTTTTATATTGACATGGGAAGACGCCTAAGATTTCTCACTGAATTAAAAAGGAAGTTTATAGAACAATGTGGATAACTATAAATGCCACTTCTGTACAACAGTGTATGTATATTTTTATAGATGCATTTAAAAATCAGGAATCCACATCAATCTGTTAAGAGTGGTTTGCAGTGTGCATTTTGATGGAGACATGGGGCCTTTCCATTCTTACTTCAGAATCTCTACACTTCTGACTTTCAGAACTCGCACATGTTGCTTCTATACTTCTCTTTTAAAAAATATGCTTCTGAAAAATTTGAACTTTTTCAAAGTTACCGTATGTCACACTGAGAAGTTTACTAGCTAACAGATAATAAAATAGCACGCATCTCCCCAAAGTCTGTAGAACTCGATACAACTTTGAGCAGAAGACCAGGCATCCAACCCAGCTACTCTGTGCTCCCAGCAGCCGCCTCAAGGACTTGCTGCGTCTTTTGAGCTTGAGGAGAAGAAAGAATTCTACAGGGACAAACGCAAGCTTCCCACAGAATAAACGTCCTTAAAAGCTATGTTAGAATTCAACTACTCAATTTTGATTTTCATGTTCTTTGATTTACGGGCACAGACATTAAGTTTTTCCATCTATAATGTGAATTCTATGTCTTACGGAAGCTGGCTTTGCTGGGAACAGACTGAAAAATCAATCAGAAGGACAGGATATTTGCAACGGGATGAGTTAAGTTCCTAACTCACCTCATATTTAGCAGCACTTGGAGCATCCAATTTGGTTGTCAAAGAAATATCTGATTCTGCAGTCGATGAAAAACCATCAGATGTTTTCATCAATTTATCAAAATTGTTTTCATCAGGCACTTCTGGATTAATAAAGGATAATGCAGGCTTATCTGTTTTTAGAAAAAGTATTTAAGTCAGTATAAAATATGTGTATTATATATATCATATACCATATTTTGGAAACAGTTTTTAGCAGTATTAAGGCTGATATGAAAAAATAAGCGTCTCCTTCTGTATTCACTTTCCCCAAGATCTCTTGAATCTTATTAAATAAACAGGATCCCCAGACTTGGCCTGTTTCTCTAACAGTGTGGAAGCAATGGTTTCTAAAGCCGATAGGTAAACGGCTCAACAGAGGCCAATTATCATCAATCTCTTTCTCCAGCCTATGGACTGAGGAGTCTGCTGCTAAACCTCTCAAGGAAAGCTCTCTCCACATGGCTAGCGGAATGAAAAATTCTGGTTCTGTCCTCACACAGCCACGTCCAAGGCCCGGGAAAATAAAGTGTGGTGTACGGAAGAGAGAGAAGAAGGGAACGGGCTGTATGTTCACCGGGCTGGTGTTACGTCAGAGAGCACGACAATGACTGACCAGTCAGTGCTTTAGATTACAAATCACAGAGCATTCGCCTAAGTTTTAAATGGCAAAGGAATAAAACCAAAGTATGAAAACATTCTGAAAAGATGATGAAGTTTACTTGATAAAACTATAAATATGTCTCCTGTCTTTAATGTCTTAACATTTTTATACTTGCATGTACCCTGGATATAGACATCTATTTGAACTAAATGGTCAAATAAAAATAAAGATCCTGTTTTCATGCAAATATTCTGCGTAAAAATAAGAGAGAAAAAAGGAAATTGAAACCAAAGCTGAACCTGATTCTCAACCATTACACGAGGAGGAAATAAAGTAAAAAAACACATATACTTAAATACATCTAGATTCCTACGCATGCCTACATATTACAAACACCTTTGAAATAAAGTATGAGCTTTCAAAAGACAACTACATGAGCACAATTCCTCTTAAAGAACATGTGCGTGGGGCCAGCCTGGTGGCACAGCCGTTAAGTGCACATGTTCCGCTTCGGCAGCCTGGGGTTCGCCGGTTCGGATCCCGGGTGCGGACATGGCACCACTTGGCACACCATGCTGTGGTAGGCATCCCACATATCAAGTAGAGGAAGATGGGCATGGATGTTAGCTCAGGGTCAGTCTTCCTCAGAAAAAAAGAGAAGGATTGGCAGCAGTTAGCTCAGGGCTAATCTTCCTCAAAAAAAAACAAAACAAAAAAACACACGCATGCGCACAGGCCTATAAAGTTACTGTGGCTGCCTGTGAAATGGCCTCAAAGATACACCCTGGTCAAACCAGAGAATGACTGCTTTCGATCTAACTGAATGGGACATTTTTCTACAAAAGAACTTGTAACAGAAAAACTTTTCAGAGTTTCACAAAGTATATCACCACTAAATACTTACGGTTTGTAATATGAATGCAGAAAATAGATGGATTGATCTGGTCGACAAGTTTAAATACCCTTTGAGGTGGGTCTGCTGTAAAATTCAATGAATAGAGGGCTGCTTTTTGACTACAAAACTGCCTGTCACCCCTGAAAATTAAAAGAATAATACAAAATTTTAAGGCATATGCACACAATCTTAGCAAGATTATTTTAAAACTGTCAGATGCTTATCCTATACTATGTTCACGGCTACTGGAGGATATTTATGAAAGCGTGATGTTAGAATTGAACCCATCTTTATTTAGTTTGTTCAGTGTTAAAATGTTTGGCATTTGAAATTTTTTCCTCTACTAGGGCAAATATTAAGATAAGTAGAGTAACCTTTAAGGAAATCTTGTCAAGTGTGGAATATAGATCAGAGTGTAATTTTGATGTAAATGAACCTTGTAAACGCTGGTAGAATCAATTATAGAAAATTTTGCAGAACTTCAGATTGTTTGTAAGTATCCAGAATAGATCCAAAATTCCTTATTTTTAGAATAAAGCTGTCTTCAAAGGATTGAGAAAATGTGAAGTCACGTGGAAGTTTTGGGGCTGAGAAGTTAGGGTGCAGTCAAGTCTTCAGCCAATCCCAGACTTGACACACCCTATTCAATTTGACACAGACACAGATATGGTTGGGAGCTATAACCAAAATGAGATCATATTCTGCATACTGCTTCAAGGTCTTTTCTCACTAAACATATATTGCCCACTATTTCCTATATCATCAAATATGTTTTCGTGATATTACACTAAATGGCTTCACTGTATACCTACTTATTGAGACACCCCAATTTTTTTAAGCAATCCTCCACCGTCGGTTTGGGTTGTTACTAATTTTCCCCCATTACATAAAATGCTATCATGACACCCTCGTACATGCATCTTTATGACTGCCTCCAGTTATCTCCTTAGGCTGCATCCTCTGAAGTGGAATTGCTGGGTCAAAAGGTAGCTACATCATTTAAGGCTTCTGAGACATGTTGCCAGACCTCCATCCAGACAGGCAAGGCGACCCCCACCCACACTGCAGCAAGAGCGCCTGTCCCCCTGTGCTCTTGCCAAGATTGGATGTTATCGTTCAGTTTTTACCCTTTGCTAATTTCAGGGGCAAAAATCTGTTATCTCGTTTTAATTTGAATTTTCTCATTTATTAGTGAGGTTAAACACTTTTCCATATGGTTATTGCTCACTGGTATTTCTTCTTCAGTAAGTTGCTCATTCATATCCATTCATCATTTTTTATTGGAATGTTTGTCTTCTTATTGATTTGTAAGAATCTTTATTTTTAAGAATCTCCTTTGAGTGTCATGTGTTGTAAATATTTTTTCCCAGTTTGTTACCTTCAATTTTACAGTGTTTTTTGTCACATAGAAGTTTTGATTTTTTAAATAATGAAATTATCAATCTTTTCCTTTCGGCTTTGCCTGTGAGTTTATGCGTAAAAGACTTTCCCTAACCCAAGATTAACAAATCACCAATCTTCTTCATTCTTTCATTAATTTTTTTTAACACTAATCTTCAATCTAATGGTAATTTAACTTAGTATAATGCTATGAAGCAGAACTCTAATGTTTTTTGTTTTTAATAGTTAATCATCCTGGGGGCCAGCCCCGTGGCCGAGTGGTTAAGTTCTCGAGTTCCGCTTCAGCAGCCCAGGGTTTCACCGGTTCCGATCCTGGGTGCAAACGTGGCACCACTCATCAGGCCATGCTGAGGCGGCATCCCACATGCCACAACTAGAAGGACCCACAACTAAAAATACACAACTATGTACCAGGGGACTTTGGGGAGAAAAAGGAAAAATAAAATCTTAAAAAAAAAAAAGTTAATCATCCTACATCATTTACTGAATGATCTAAGCTTTACTCTACAGATGTGAAATGTCATATTTACCATATATCAACAGGAAAAAATACATGATTTCTTTTTTAAAGATTAGCTCTGGGCTAACATCTGTTGCCAATCATTTTTTTCCTTCTTCTTCTTCTCCCCAAAGCCCCCCAGTACATAGTTGTATATTCTAGTTGTAGGTCCTTCTAATTCTGCTATGTGGGACACCACCTCAGCATGGCTCAATGAACGGTGCTAGGTCCACACCCAGGATCCGAACTGGTGAAATCCTGAGCCACTGAAGCGGAGCGCACGAACTTAACCACTCAGCCACGGGGCCGGCCCCCCCATAATACATTTAATCGGCTATGTGTAAAATCAGTACACACAACTGATTTTTGGCCTTTCTATTCTCTTCCACTGATCTACCTATCTGTCTTGACTCAATACACATTATTTTCATTATAGTAGTGTTATAACATGTTTGAAACCTCGTAGCTTGCTCTTCTCATTCAATAACATCTTGGCTGTTCTCATCTGTTTATTCTTCCAGATGAATTTTAGAATCATTTTGACATATATTATCCCTCTCCCATCTGACTGGAATTACATTTATAAATTTTTATAAATTAATTGAAGTGTTTACATAATGATTCTTCCCATCCCATTACATAAACTCTCTCTCCATTTATTCAATATTTTTCTCTCACTATATTTTGAAGTTTTCTTCACATAAATACTGAATAGTTAAATTTATTTCTAATTTATGTTGTATTTCTATTGGCGTTATGAATAGAAGCCATTTCCATTATATTTTTTGAATGGTTATTGCTGGGGTATAAAGAAGCTATTGATTTATTTTATAATTGGCACTTTTCCAAATGCTCTGTATAGTTCTAATGGTATATCACTTGTTATTGTAGGCAAAGAATATTTTTGAAAAACCATGAGTAGTATTTATGAGAAAAGATCCAACACTGAAAACTTACAAGTCCTACTGGCCTTAAAGGATGAGTAGGAGTCAGACAGAGAGGGAACAGGAAGCTAACCCAAGCGCAAGGACAGCACTGGCCAAGGAAGGGCACTGTCCTGATGGTGTCTGGTAAACTCTGAGTACCAACGCTGGGCTAGAGGGAGGACTCGAGATGAGGTTAGTAGGAAATAGGGTCTGAAAGAGGTTGGCGAATGGATCTGAATCCAGGCTAAGGAATCTTAGGTATAGATACAGGTAAGGAAAGCTTCGAAGGGTTTTCAGCAATTGAGTGACAAGATAGGGTGCGAGCTTATAAAGTGGAAGGAGCAGGAAGGGACAAGCACAGGGGCTGTCATGAAGACAGACTCAGCAGAATGGGGCTCCCTACTGCTCCCTCCAATCAACTAGCTCTCTAATCTTGTACAATAGATCAGTGTCACTAATAGATCTGTATATTTCTCTCTAGTGCCACTGTCACAACCTTTGGGGTGGGGGGATACCTATTAACCCATCTGCAATAACTTCTTACTCGGTTCCCTGCCACCAGGCTGGCCCTGTAATCCACTGTCCATGCTGCTACAGAATTTCATAAGATGGGACTCTGATCTCCTCACACCCCAGCCTCCTGCAGAATTCAGGACAAAATCCAAACCCCTCAGCACACACAGAAGGCCCATGGGGATAGGAGCCCTGCCACCTCACCACACCCTTCTCTGGCCACAGAGTTACCTGCAGTTAAGCCAAGAGACCATACTCCTTCATCCCCAGCACTCTGCCAGTGGCTGCCTCGGCCTGGAGGCCCCTCCCCCGATTCCATGCTGGCCAACTTCCACTCGTCCTTCCGGACCCAGCTCAGCTCTGACCATCTGTTCGAGAAAGCCTTCCCTAGTCCAACTGTCTGGCTTAGATGCCACTCCTCAGAGTTCTCCTAGTGCCTCGCAGAAACTGTCATCCACTCCTCTGTCTCCCATACTCAATGAGCTCTTTGAAGGCAAGACCGAGTCTAACTCATCTTTACATCCCTGTGCCGGCACACAAGACATGCTCAAGAAAGGCATGCTGACATGAGAAGGGAAGAAAGAGGCAGGAGTCAGGACAGCCTCCAGGTTTCTGGCCTGAGTGTCTGCCCGAAAGAACAACAGTAGAGAAAGTCAAAAGGTGATACAATGGGGCCGGCCCAGTGACGTAGTGGTTGGGTTTTCGCACTCCACTTTGGCAGCCCAGGGTTCGCAGGTTCAGATCCCAGGTGTGGACCTGCACACTGCTCATTGGGCCATGCTGTGGTGGTGTTCCACGTGAAAAATGGAGGAAGACTGGCAGAGATGCCGGCTCAGGGACAGTCTTCCTCTGGCAAAAGGAGGAAGACTGGCAACAGATGTTAGCTAGGGGCCAATCTTCCTCACCAAAAAAAGAAAAAGGTAATACAAAAGGGTCAATTAGCGTGTGAAGGGGAGAAATTCATTCATCCATTCAACCCGTTTGCAATAAGAGCCAACTATGTGGCAGGAGCTGTGCTAGGGACTAGTGAGATATAGTTTATAAAAGAGATAATTCTTCTTACTTTTATGAGGCTTACATCTAATGGGGAAAAGAGATATTAATCGAACAATCTTAACAATAAACTTACAATTTATTAGGTGATAGGATTAGTTGTTGGCAGTTTAGCAAATGTAAATAAACCTTTTATGAATTGAACCTATAGAACAAGAACACTCAATTAATTACAATTATTAGTTTTCATTTCATTATTTCTACACTTCATATTTAGAAGAAAGTGACAAGCAAAACTAACTCAAAAAACTCTGAGGTTCTTTCCTGAGGGCATATAGATTCAGCTCTAACTTCTAAACCAGGGTCCACAAATCCCGCCTGACTTTGTAAATACAGTTTCGTTGAAACAGTCATGCCCACTCATTTACACGTTGTCTGTGGCTGCTTTTGCTCAACAACAGTAGAGTTGAGAAGTTGCAACAAAGACCATATGGCCTGCAAACCTTAAAATATTTACTATGTGACCCTTTATGGAAAAAGCTTGCTGATCCCCATCCCAAATGGTCTATATTTAAAATTACAGTATTGGCTAATAAAAAAGTGACATTCTAAATAATGTCTCAAATTGGAGCAGAAATCTCAGTCTCAGGCTCCTGGTAGGTACTAAGAAAGGAAAGCTGAATGGTTTTCAACAAAGACTGAACCACGCTGTAGTCTGCAGCCAGAAAAATAGTCTGACCACATCTCATTCTCCAAGCATTTTTACAATATTAGAAGTAGATTCAATTCCCCATTGGTCAATAAAATAGTTTCTCATGGGAAAAACATATTGTACTTCCAAAAAGCATTTCAACCTATCAAGTATCAACTGCTACAACTTGCTACAAGGCTAAATTTAAATTAGCTATCTCTGAATAATAAGTTGGTCCCATCCTGAATAAATTAACCTCTTAGAGGTGCTATTTTATCAAAAAGCTTTGAAATCGGAATTATGAGAAACAGATCATTCACAAGAGATTATTTCTTTGCCTTGTAATCCACTGGGAACGTCATTTTCCATTATTCTCCAATACAATGTGAACTGTGAGAATTCCCAGTAGATTTACCTATCAGAAAGGTGTAAACAAAGCTTTCCTGACTATCTATTTAATTTTTTGGTACAAGTACCATGTCCACAACAAAAGCTGTAAAATTAAACTGCACTTTTCATCTTGGCTAAACATGAGACTAAGTCATTGATAGAAAAATGTGACATATTATCTGTTTACAAATCAAAGTGACATGATATTCAACCTCCAAACACAGAGATTTCGTTATACTCTTTTTAAAATGTACACTCTCTCTTCTCTTTCCCCTGCACCAACATCTGGCTGGATGCAAATAAGGGGTACTCTTCTACGCATTGGTTTAGACACCGTGGCTTCTGAACGACGCAAAATTCAGGAAATCAGATTTGGGTTCTTCAGCCTGGGTGAGTTTTCACTTTCTGTCCCCAAATTTTATAATCTTGGTCCAATTTTATCAAAACCGCATGTGTCACAAACTTACGTGACAACGGGAACCGAGCACGCAGAAAAGACACTGAAATCCATGGAGCTACAATCGGGATCACAGCAGCAGTTGACGTCACACCGTGCTGGAGACAAGTCACAGACACACAGAGCAGCCACTACGGAAACAAGAGGCGAGATGCAGGGTGTCACCATCAGCAGGCGGTGACTGCCCCCTGCCACTGCAAGGTACCAAAAACCCATTTCATACAAAAGGTCCACTTTCTTTTTCCTTTTGTACTTTGGGGGAAATTTGTAAAGTGAGAATGAGTCAGTGTGAGCATGCCTCAATCTGAGGTTTCCCCAAAGTGGCTCGTCATCTGACTCATGGAAACTTCTGTTTGTTTGTGCTTTACCTACAAAGACTCTGATTTGGTAAGCTGACTATGAACCCAGACCTCTGTGTTTTTCAAAAATTTTCCAGGTGATGCTGATAATTAAGACAGGGTGAAGAACTATCTTGCTGGGGGCCGGCCTGGAGGCAGAGTGGTTAAGTTCACATGCTCTGCTTCCATGGCCCGGGATTGCTGGTTTGGATCTTGGGTGTGGACCTACACAACACTCATCAAGCCACGCTGTGGCAGCATCCCACACAGAAGAACTAGAATGATCTACAACTAGGATATACAACTAGGCACTGGGGCTTTGGGGAGAAAAAAAAAAAAAGAAGATTGGCAACAGATGTTAGCTCAGAGCCAAACTTCCTCACCAGAAAAGCATACTTAAAAAAAAGGAAAAAAGAACCAGCATACTAAATCACTTGCCTGACCGTAAGAAACACCAGTTTAATATTGCAGATTCTCAAGCTCCTCCTCTGGAGACTGATTCAGAGGAAGGGTCACTAAAGGCTGCCAAGAATCAGTGTTCTCAACCTTGTTCTTTTCCTCAAACATCACCTGCAGCTTTGAAGCTAAGCCCACATTCGCACGCTATTGGCCAAGAATCAAACCAGCTCAAGTGCTTTGTACTTGGGGTCCTAGCAACATCTTTGGTAATTTAGACAATAAAGCATGGAGAGGAGTAGGACTCTCCCTACACAGCACTTTTAATTTTTAATGATGATGACTATCTGGATTTTTAATTCTCTATTTTATTCTGGCAAATAGGGAAAAAAAAAACTCTTTTAAAGAAATAATAGAGCATGAGAATGGTAAACACTGAATTCATGGCAGTCATTATTGCTGGGAGGGAGGGAATAAGATCAGTGCACCAATGTAATTTTTTTCTCTTTTCAAAAAAGGATTTCATGCAAAAACAAAACAAGGATCTCGAGCAAATGCTGGTAGAGAGTCCATACAACATTCTTATTTGCTTGTATGAATGATTTCACAATAAAAGTGAGTTTTAGAAAAATGTAGCTCAGAAAAGGTACAATAACATACTCGGGAAAGAAGCGTGTGAGGAGAAGGGGAATGTTTTGTCAAGAAATACACAAACCTTTCTCAGTCTGAGATACAAAAGTTGTCCCCCTTAAGTTTACGTGCTTCTCTGTAGCCAGGCCTCCTCCACGTGCTTAGTAAAATAACACAACGTAACACACGCTAACGTAAAAAATAGTGTTCTGGCTCCCTGCCTCATGCGTTTAAAATTGTAATCTTGATTTGTTTTCTAAAACTTCAAACCCTTGTAGGTAAGCTATAAGACCACTAAGGACAAAGCAATAGTGTTTAATAACCCCACTTAGGAAAGAAAGATCTCTATCCAGGAAACGAGTATTTGATCAGCCAACAAGCATCTGTCCAGCAGTTGCAGGGTCTAAGTAGCACTCAGCCGCTCTTGCACACCTCTTATGCCTACACTCCTGGCTCACAGAGCAGAGTACTACGGAACAAAGCGGATTCAAGATGAAAGTTATCACTCTTCTCTTCCCTTTGCAACCCATTCTGCAAATGGCTGTCCAGTTCTCCACTCAGAGCCAGCCTCCTGCTCCAACACATACCAGGGCTGTGACCCAAAATCAGGCAGATAATTCACCTACCTGCAAAATGGGGATAACCCACACCATACAGTTATGAGGATTAGATGAGATACATCATAGATGACATGCTTAGCACAGTGCCTGCTACACAGCAAGCAATTAATAAACGCCAGCTGTCGCTTATTACCATTACTTTCACAGGCGTAAGGAGGGATCCTTTAAAAAAGATGAAGCTAAGTGAAAATTGACCCCCCCACACACACACACTGGAAAAAAGCCCTGAACACATGCCCTAATAATGATGCTTCAAGAATAGCTTCCTTCTGGGGATAAAGTGGATTAACAGATGGAATATTTACATGGATAAAAGACAACCCAGTCCAAAAACCTTAGAGAATTTTGGGCCCTGAAAGACTCTGCTATTTTCTGTCCAATTTATTACTGATTTAACTTCCCTACTAATCCATCAAATGAAGTTTAAATATAAAACAGAGTTTTGTTAATGTCTATATTGAAATAGTGAATATATTTCTCTGTACTTTTTCTTTCAGACTACTCATAATTTATAAAGGAGCTCCTTTGGAGAAACAATGGTTCAGTAACTCAGGTTAAGTCCCACAGTTCAGGACGTCAGCCAATAACGACTTTCTATTTACTAATACTGAGCTTCATTCAATTCTTTTCTTTTGTAAAGATTGGCACCTGGGCTAACAACTTGTTGCCAATCTTCCTCTTTTTTTTTTTTTTTTTAAAGATTGGCACCTGGGCTAACAACTGCTACCAATCTTTTTTTCTTTTCTGCTTTATTTCCCCAAACCCCCCGTGTACACAGCTGTATATCTTAGTTGCAGGTCCTTCTAGTTGTGGGATGCTCAACGTGGCCTGACGAGCGGTGCCATGTCCGCGCTCGGGATCCAAACCCTGGGCCGCCGCAGCGGAGCACGCGAACTTAACCACTCAGCCACAGAGCCGGCCCCAGCTTCATTCAATTTAAGAAAAGATCTCTTTCTCGTAAGAAGCGATAAAAAATACTGCATACCTACTGAGGTTACAGTCAGTGGACTTAGAATTTTTAAGATCACAAACTCTTTCGAGAAACTGCTGACTGCTATGAACCCTCACCTCAGAAAAATGCATATTCACAGAATTTTGCACTCAATCTCAGGGTCACAGACAGACATCGCTGGAAGTCAGCAATGTCAAATCAGACTATAAAATATTCATTAAATGCGTAACTCCAGGTTTAGATCACTTTCCGAGAAATATGTTAATTATCCCTAAAGATGAATCCTACGAAGTGGGCACAACACCTTACCCCATACCTTCCCACTTTCAACTCAGCACAGGCAGAATCCTGAGTTTTCATAACTCAAGTCAACAGACAAGGGCCTTATCTAGTCACATTTTGTAAGCTAGACTTCTGGCACTTCTTTTTTGGTAAGTGAAAAGTTTAATGCATCCTATGCATTTAATTTCCACAACTGTCTAGAAACTTTCGATTCGATTTTGTCTTCAGCTGCAAAGCTGCAAGGATTCATTCATTATTACCTTTAGCATTAATGTCGTCCAGGACCACTGCAAGTACTTTCAAAGAACTGATATTGTCCCACTTACACTCTCTGGGCCTCAGTTTTCTCATTTGTATGCCAGGGATAATAATATCTACCTCTCAGAGTTGTTGAGAGAATTCATGCCTATGAAACACTTAGCAATGCCTGCACACGTAAGTGTTCAATAAATGTTAACTATCATTATTATTACATCCTCACCCGGGCTACCCACTCCAGGTTGGATTACTGTGGATCCTCAGGAGTTGGCACTTGGTACCCACCGTCCGTGACCGGGGTGGGCCTGGGGCCAGAGGAGGGCCGAGGGGCTCTGGGGGTCTCGGGAGGCCCAGGCGACAAGGCGGGCCAGAGAGTCGTCGCGGCTGGCTCCGCAGAGTTGAAGCCCTCCGTCGTCACCGCGGAGGTGGCCCCGGCCTGGGCGCTCCCAGAGGCCCAGCAGTCCAGGAGCACGAGCAAGAGCGGCTGGAGGCCCCGCGACCCCATCACCTCGCCGAAACCTGCGCGCCCAGATGCAGGGGAATCGCGCGTTGCCAGGTAACCGCGGCGGCCGGGCGCGGGGCATTACGGGAAGGCTCCCTCGAGGCCTCGCGAGACCGCAGGGGCTGGGGGCGGGGCCTGGGCGAAGTGGGCAGAAAGAGACGGCCGGTGAGGGGGCGGGGCCTGGGTGAGACCGGTCACGAGGGGCGGAGACGAGGGCCCGGGATGAGGGAGTGGGATCATGCGCAGTGTGAGTCCAGTGGAGACCGAGGGTTGTGAGATCCTCTGGTGCAACGCTCGCGGACTGCGACGCTTGTTTAAAAAGTGCGAATGTGCAGGTTACATCTCAGGGGATTCTGATTCACTGAGTCTTACAGCAGGATCCAGGAATCAATGTTTTTAACAAATGTCCTGACGCAACCGGTGGGGGGACGGAAATTTGGGAACTCCTCTCCTAAAGCTACTAAATAGGGTCTTTTGAAGAAGCACAGAGATGACATCACCATCCTTGAATTTTCTCTGTCCCACACCCTGTCCACGCTGGCTTTGTCTTTTTTGTTTTAAGATGCATCGCAGGAGGCGGCCAGATAACTTCTGTTCACCGTGTTGTGATAAAGGGGACAAATGAACACGACTTTTTTACAGACAAAAACATTGACAAAAATTAAGTAGAATGATTTATACGTCTTAAAAGGAAAAAAACAAAGCAAATCTACTGTAACTCTACAAAATGACACGGAGACCACAAGACTTAGTAGGAAAGCACTTCCATTCTAAACTGGCTAATTTATAAGGTACTCCAGCTCAGGGATTTTGGCTATACCTTTGACAGTTAATCTCCTTACAATTCAGAAGTAGATGTTAAAATACTTAAACATATCATGATATTTATTTAAGAAACACATTTACACAATTCAGAAGAATGCCAAAACAGTATATATACCTAATTTATTAAATTTATATAGCAAATCTAAATCATCAAAGTGACATCTTTAGCATCTTCCTGTGGCACTCCAGAGAAAATGTATAAAAATATAATTGGATCACTCAAACCAGTAATACAGATATTTCCAAATTTTTTTCTCCAAAGGATTGCTTTAACGTCTGATTGAAATTTTGGACCACTTTTATTAAGTGATACAATGCTTCCCTTAAAATATATATACATATATTTTTTTTCCAAACCTTCATCTCATAACTTCTAAATCCAGGACTTACTGTTGTTGTTTTAAACCTTCTCTTTACTTCCAGGCCTCTACTTTCTTTTGTATTCCTTAATATCTGTGAATCACTTTGTCCTATTTTCTGTTGTGAAATTTTAGGCTGTTGGACTCAATCTTGATAAAGTGTCCTTCACTCCAACATTTTCATCTTTGTGGTTTGGGAAATAATCTCACCACCCTTTTCGACCAATCTCAAACACTGGGTAGATGGCCCAAAAGTAATTTTACAACATCTTATGAAATGCACATGAGGATTGCATCGACTCAGATCGGTTTTGCAATCCTTGGGAAGACTGAAACTTTTCATTTCACAGGTGACCCATTTTCACCAGCCTTTTTTCACCTTTCAAGCCAGGGGATTCTTTCACTCTCTTCTCCCTCGGCCTTGGCCGTTTCCCTCGTTAGGATGGAACGATACAAGGAGAGGCTGAGATCTATTTCCATATTTTGTCCAAAACCACAGCATTTGGATTGTGAGTGAATGTTTGTGATTAAAAATGTCCATCTGTTTCTTTAGGATTATTGGCATTCTCATTTCCTTATAGTCTGTGCCAACAATGGGAGGAATCAAGACAATTCAGCATTTTAGAATTCTGCTCTTGGACACTGCTGCCTATGAGGAGTCTGAAAAACCAAAGATAGGAGTAGTTGGGTGGAAAAATAGCTAAGGCTGACTTTACAAGGGAGTATTAGCCACTCTGTCTTAGTCTTTGGTGTGGTTTGGGGTGAATTGGTTATTATTGTTGTTATTATTGCTAATAAAGTCATGGCTTCTAACCTGTCTAAAATTAGGTATCCAATTTTTCTATAATTAAGTATATGCATCCATCTTTATTCATCTGAGCCAAATATTTTACACATAGGGAGGCAGAATCATCAAGCTTTATGAAGGAATTGCTCAGCGCCGCAGGGAGGGGAGATCGAGGCTATGCGAGGACCAAGGATGGACTCTGCTGTTTTGACTGAAGTGATGAATCCAGTAACTGATTTGTAAATCAACACCCAGAAGAAAATAGCCCTGGACTTCTCTCCTCCTCCCGTCCCCGTATGCCTGGCCCACCACCAGGCACTGTATTCTTCGTCAAAGGTTTTCTGAAACTTTATGGGGGCAGGAGGGCTATTTGAGCAGACTACACATTCTTCAACAGTCTCAAATTTACAAGCTTGACCTTTTCTGAAAATGAAGTAATAAATACAGTCACTGACATATGCTGACAGGAGTGAAATAAGAATTCTTTGTTTACCAGACAACTTTAAACTTGCAGCCTATTATTGGACCATACTGCGGTTTGAATAAACCAGTTGGCTTTTTAACAATCAGTCTTGGTTTTGTTATTTTCAGATTGAAACATTTCACTCACAATGAAGGGTACAAAAAAGAAGGCTACTGTGCACTGCACCAAGATTCTTCAGATGCTAACAATTTGCTCATTTGCTCCACGTTTCTTTTTAGTCAGCTTTATTAACGGATAATTTATATACAGTATAATTTTTGTGTATGGTTTTTGGTGTGCATGTTTTTCTCATGCATCAATGTACATATTTTTTGGTGTACACTTCTATGAGTTTTAACAAATACATACAGTCATGTAACCACAGCCACAATCAAGATATAGAACAATTTTACCACTCCGTGCTCCTTCTTAGTCAACCCTCCGCCTGTCCCAGCCCCTGACAACACTGATCTATTTTCTGTTTCTATAGTTTTCCTTTTTTTGCAGAATGTCACATCAATGGAATCACACAATATGCAGTCTTTTGAGCCTGGCTTCTTGCACTTAAGCCTAATGCCTTTGAGATTCATCCATGTTGCATGTATCAACAGTTGGTTCCTTTTATTATTATTAATTATTGTAAAAAAATAACATTAAGCTTACCATCTTAATCCATTTTTTTTTTTTTTGGAAGAAGATTAGCCCTGAGCTAACATCTGCCATCAATCCTCCTCTTTTTGCTGAGGAAGACTGGCCCTGAGCTAACATCCGTGCCCATCTTCTTCTACTTTCTATGTGGGACGCCTGCCACAGCATGGCTTGACAAGCGGTGCTATGTCCACATCCAGGATCTGAACCAGCAAACCCCAGGCTGCCAAAGCAGAACATGCACACTTAACCGCTGCGCCACCAGGCCAACCCCATCAGGCCGGCCCCATCTTAATCCTTTTTAAGTGTACAGTTCAACAGTGTTAAGTGTTTTCACATTGTTGTGCAACAAATTTCTAGAACTTTTTCATCGTGCAACACGGAAGCTCTATACCCACTAAACCCTAATTCCCCCATTCCCTGTCCCCAGCTGTTGGCAACCACCTTTCTATTTTATGTTCCTATGATTTTGACTACGTTAGATACTTCATATGAGTAGAATCACAGTATTTATCCTTTTGTGACTGGCTTATCTCACTTAGCATAATGTCCTCAAGGTTCATCCATGTTGTAGCACGTGACAGGATTTCCTTCTTTTTTAAGGCTGCATAATATTCCATTGTATGTATATATCACATTTTCTTTCTCCATTCATCTGTCAAAGGATATGTGGGTTGCTTCCACCATTTGACTATTGTGAATAACACTGCTATGAACACGGATGTGCAAACGTCTCTTCAAGACCCTGCTTTCAATGCTTTTGGATATATACCAGAAGGGGGATTGCCGGATCATATGTAATTCTATTTTTAGGTTTTTTTAGGAACCTCCATACTGTTTTCCATAATAGTTGCACCATTTATATTCCCACCAACAGTGATAAGAATGCCAACTTCTCCACATCCTTGTCAACACTTGTTATTTTCTATTCTTTTGACAATGGCCACCCTGATGGGTGTGAGGTCATATCTCATTGTAGTTCTGATTTGCATTTCCCTAATGATTAGTGATGCTGAGCATCTTTTCTCTGCTTATTGGCCATTTGTATATCTTCTTTGGAGAAATGTCTATTCAAGTCCTTTGCCTATTTTTTAATTGGGTTATTTGTTTTTTTGTTGTTGAGCTGTACAAGTTCCTTATATATTCTGGATATTAACCCCTTATCAGATATACGATTTGCAATTATTTTCTCCCATTCCACAGGCTGCCTTTTCACTCTGTTGATTGTTTCCTTTGACGCACAGAAGTTTTTAAGTTTCACGTAGCCCCATTTGTCTATTTTTTCTTTTCTTGCCTGTGCTTTTGGTGTCATATCCAAGACAACGTCACTAAATCCAATGTCTGGAAGTTTTCCCCCTCTGTTTTCTTCTAGGAGCTTAATAGTTTTAGGTCTTACATTTAGGTCTTTAATCCATCTTGAGTTAACTTTTGTATGTGATGTCAGGTAAGGGTCCAACTTCAATCTTGTGCATGTGGATACCCAGTTTTCCCAACACCATTCGCTGAATAGACTGTCCTTTCCCCATAGTGTCGTCTTGGCACGCTTGTCAAAAAATCATTTGGCCATATATTCAAGAGTTGATTTCAAGCCATTCCTTTTTATTGCTGACAAATAGTCCATAATGGAGATACCACAATTTCTTCATCTACTCACCAGTTGAAGTAATTTGGGTTTTGCCAGTTTTTGGTAATTACAAATAAAACCACTATAAACATTCATATACATATTTTGTGTGAATATACATTTTCATTTCTCCCGGGTACATACCCAGCAGTGAGATTTCCAGGTTGTATGGTGGATGCATGCTTAATTTTACAAGAAACTGCCCAATTTTTTTCCAAAGTGACTGTACGTTTTGCATTTCCACCAACAATGTTTGTGAATTCCAGTTGATCCAAATGCTGATGAAAACTCGGTATGGTCAGTTTTGTTTTCATTTTTGTTTTTAGCTACGCTAGTAAGTGTGTGGTGGTGTCTTATTGTGGATTTATTAGTTGGCTTTTAATAAATCCAATCATCTTGTAATGGTACATTTTAATTACATTTTAACCTTGGGATGCCAAAAGAATTTGTTAAATATTAAATGAAGAAATGAAGTCTTCGTTTTTCTGTAGACAAATAGCCTCAAAAAATGGAAGTGGGCGGGCCTCTTGGTTCCACCTAGGGCACTGCTCTCTCCTCCCCCACTTCTGTTTCTGTTTCTGTCTCGTAAACATGTTTTCATCGTCGTCCTCAGGACCTGCAGGTAGTTCTGCTTTCATTCTCCCCTTACTGGCAGCCTGTTAGTGAATTCTTTGGAGGCCTGAACCTGCTTCATTTCGCCCTGTCACAGGGTCAGGCATTTCTGCTACAGCTTGTTTCAAGGCATGTACCTTTTGTTGACCAAATTTGTTGGAAAGAATGTGGAGACCAAAGAAAAGCAAATACAAGACTGGGTAAGTTTATGTCAAAAGCATTGACCTCACGTGGTTGGAGCATGTTTTTCATACGCCAAATCAGGACCCACGGTGTGAGAAGTATGCATACAGTTACAAAGACAATGAAAAAACTGGAATGTCCTGGGAACTTCAGACTCACCATGGCCATAGTTATGAAAAGTCTGGATGGAACCAACCCTAATTCCAAACCCCCAGATTCCCCGTCTCTACATCGTTGTCAGTTTATTAGGGGGGAGAAATGACGGCTAGATCCGTTTGGATAAAGACTCAACTTGATGCCTCTTTTTTATGGAGAATCATTTGTGAATTCCTTAAAACAAATAATGAGAGTCCCTCCAATCTGAATTCAGCCACAAGTTCTGCCCTCAGAGGGCAGCTGCTTCCCATAGTTGGATCATAAAATATCAGTCGTATTTTAACTTTTGTCCCCTCCCAAAGGGAATCGACCTAAAAGTTTTTTCTTCAAATGTTTTCTGCAAGACATAAGAAGCTGGTAATTGTAACAGTTTCTGGGGAGAAGGGAGGCAGGAGGGTCACTCTTCAATATATTGTGCATGTATTAAGTTTCAATTAAAAGCTAATTGATTTTTAAATTAAATAACCACAACAATAAAACATTTAAAAAACATTTGTTCCCTCGCTTCATCATAGCATTCCTCTGTTCCATGAGGGGGAGCATTCAGAAAATAAGGCAAAAATCCTTTCCTCCTGCCACCATCTGCTTAAACTAGACTTGAAAGTAAATTTAAAAACTTGTAAACATTTTTCAAGTCTAAAAAATAATAAGATTAGACTCAAACAAATACTGTAGTCTCCTCTGCTTGTACTATAAGAAGTGCTTACTTTGAGGAATTAGCGAAAATGCATCTCAGGGCTCTTAAAATTGTTTAAAGGGATGGCACAGAGGGAGATCAGCTGGCTGTGGGGTAACTTCTGTTGGTCGTTGGTCACCGTGATTTGGTGGTGGCCCTCAGTTTTCACATTTCAGAGACAAAATCTTTCCAGATCAGCCCAGGATTATGGGGTTGTGGTAAGCAGACCTTCCAGAGATTAAGAGATGTCCTACTTATCCTTCAGATTTCACCTCCTCCAGGAAGCCCTCCTGCCCTGATCCACCAAGGAGTCGGACCCTCACAAATTTTGGAACAAGACCAGTCTGGGTTAATCCTGTTCCATCTCTTATTAGCTGGGTGATATTGAGCTATTGAGATATTGAGCTTAAACCTCCCTGATAAAAACCATCATACTGGGGCTGGCCCAGTGGTGCAGCAGTTAAATGCGCACGTTCCACTTTGGTGGCCTGGGGTTTGCTGGTTCGGATCCCAGGTGCGGACATGGCACCGCTTGGCACGCCATGCTGTGGTAGGCGTCCCACATATAAAGTAGAGGAAGATGGGCATGGATGTTAGCTCAGGGCCAGTCTTCCTCAGCAAAAAGAGGAGGATTGGCGGCAGACGTTAGCTCAGGGCTGACATTCCTCAAAAAAAAAAAAAAAAAAATCCATCATACTGATGTTTCCAGTTAAAATCAAAACTAGAGGGGTTTTACTTAACCATATTAATCTTACATATATACTTCTTTTCTCTTACACCTAAAGCTTGGTTCTCAACAATTCCAACATATTTTATTTTTGCTTATCTCAAAATACACATTTAGCATAGTAGTAAGTTTCAGAATAACAATGTCAATACTATCACTAAGCACATGATTATTAAAAAACAGGTTAAGTTTCTTTTTTTAGCTGCACGCGTGCATTTAATCTGTGTTTAGCATGCTGCCTCAGCTCCACGTTTTTCTCTGACTGCTCTCTCTCAAGCTAGAGCTGCTCTGTTTCAAGTTCTCCAAAGAAGAAACACTTAATCTTCTGCAGGGATCGGGGCAAGGGGTCACAGGAGGGAAATCTGGCAGTAACGTGCCTAGTAGATATGTACAATTAACGATCTGTCTTCGGTCCCTCCTCTCACCCCAGGGGCCTGACCTTCAATCCCTGAGCCTCTCTGGGGTTCAGCCACTGCGACT